CTGTTCTCATTGTTGTCACTGTTATCATGGTTGTCACCATTATCATCGTTGTCGCTGTTGTCATCGTTGTCACTGTTTTCACCGTTGTCAGCGTTGTCTTCGTTTTCACCCTTGCCACTCTTGTCACCGTTGTCATTGTTGTCACTGTTGTCAGTGTTGTCAATAATGTCACCGTTGTCTCTGTGTTGACTGTTGTCACTGTTGTCACCGTTGTTACTGTTGTCACTGTTCTTACCATTGTCACCGTTTTCACTGTTGTCACTGTCACTGTTGTCACTGATGTCACTGTTGTCACCGTTGTCACTGCTGTGACTGTTGTCACCATTGTCACTGATGTCCCTGTTGTCACTGTTGTCACTGTTTTCATTGTTCTCGCCGTTTTCACCGTCGTTACTGTTTTAACCAGTGTCACTATTGTTCCTTTTTTCACTTATTTCACCCTTGTCACCGTTGTCACTGTTGTCAGTGGTGTCACCGTTGTCACTGTTGTCACCATTGTCACTGTTGTCATTGTTCTCACCATTGTCACTTTTGTCACTGGCAACAGCAAGAACGGTGAAAACAACAACAATGCTGAGAACTGTGACAACGATGACAACCTTGACAACAAGGACAATAGTGACAACAGCATCATCGGTGACAACAGTGACAACAGTGGCATCGGTGACAACAGTGACAACTGCGTCAACGGTGACAACAGCAACGACCTTGAAAACATTAACGGTTAAAACAGTGACAACGGCGACAACGGTGACAACAGCTACAGTAGTCACAACAGCAACAATGGTGACAACAGCGAAAGCACTGACAACATTGACAACGGTGAAAACAGTGACAACGGCGACAATGATGACAACCGTGACAAGGACAACTGTGACAACAGTGACAACATCGACAACGTTGAGAACAGTGACAACGGTGACAACAGTGAGAACAGCGATAACGGTGACAACAGCAATACTGGTGACAACAATGACAACAGCTACAACAGCAACAAAGGTGACACTAAGGACAATGGTGACAACAGTGACAACAGCGATAACGGTGAAAACAGCGACAACTGTGACAACAACGACAACGGTGAGAACACTGACAGTAGTGACAACAGTAAGAACAGTGACAATTAACGGCGACAACAGTGACAGCAGCGACCACCATGATAACACTGCGAAAAGTGACATCGACGATAACGGTGACAAAAGTTAGAACACTGTCAATGATGAGAACAGTGACAAAAGTGACAACGGTGACAACAGTGACAACAATGATAACGGTGACAACAGCGACCACAGCAAAACGGTGTCACTAACAACAACAGTGACAACTGGGACAAGGGTGACATTAACGACAGCAATGACAAGAGGGACAATAGCGATAACGATGACATTAGTGACAAAAGCGACAACAGTGACAACAGTGAAAAGAGTGACAACAGCGACAACAGTGACAACATTGACAACAGCGACGGCGATGACAACAGTGACAGCAGCGACAACTGTGACAATGGCGACAACAGTGACAACAGCAACAACAGTGACCACTGCGGCAACGGTGACAACATTGACAACAGTGACAATAGTGACAATGCTGACAACAACGACAATGGCGACAACAGTGACAATAGTGATAACATCGACAACAGTGACAACAGGGACAACAGTGACAACAACAACGATGACAAGTGTGACAACAGTGACAACGGTGACAACAATGACAATTGTGACGACAACAATAATGGTGGCAACAAGGACAACGGTGACAACAATGATAATGGTGAGAAAAGTGAAAACAGCAAGAACGGTGACAACAGTGACACTTGTGACAACAACCACAACGATGACACCAGCGAGAATGGTGACACTATCGACAAAGGTAACAACGATGACAACAGCAACAACATTGACAACGGTTATAACAGTGACAAAAGCGACATTTTGACAACAGCGACAATAGTGATAACAGGGACAACAGTGACGATGGCGACAACAGTGAGAAAAGTTACAACAGTGTCAACACTCACAACAGTGACAACAGCGATAACAGTGACAACAACAACAATAGCGACGCAAGTGGCAATGGTGACAACGGTGACAACGGCGACAACAGTGACAATAGTGACGATCCTGACAACACCGACAACAGTGACAATGATGATAACAGTAGCAAAAGTTAGAACACTGTCAACAATGACAAAGGTGACAAAAGTGACATTAGTGAAGACAGCGACTACAGTGACAACAGCGGGAACAAGCACAACAGCGACAACAGCCAAATCATTGAAGAGAGGGACAACAGGAGCAACAGTGACAATAGCAACAACACGGACAATGGCGACAATAGTGATAATAGTGGCAAAAGTGAGATCCGCGACAACAGTGACAGCAGCTGACAAAAGAGATAAGAGTCACAACTCTGATGAAAGGAGAACAGCGACAACCGTGACAACAGTGACAACAGTGATGACAATGACAACAGCAACAATGGTGCAAATAGTGACAATAGTGAAAACGGCGACAGGAGTGACAAATGTGACAACATCGAAAAAGGTGACAAAAGCGACAACAAAGACAACGGTGACAAGAGTGACAATGGTGACAACAGCAAGAACAGTAAAAACGGCGACAACAGTGACAAAGCGACAACGGTGACGACAGCGATGAGAGTGACAACAGTGACAACGGCAGGAACACTGACAAAAGTGACAACAGTGACGACACCGACACCAGCGAGAACAGTGAGAACAACAACAGCGATAACAGTAACAACACTGGTAACAGCAACAAGAGCCACAACAGCAACAACATGGACAATAGGGCAGCAGTAGCAACAGTGACAAGAGTGACAACAGCGACAATATTGACTACAGTGAAAACAGTGAGAACAGGCAAAAGGTGGCGACAGCTGACAGTCTTCTAGAATTATTTCAGGACTTTGATTACCTGCTGTTAGGGTGGATGCTAAATTGTGGCTCGACATTAATTAAGCTCGAAAAATTTTTTTGTGTGTAATCTCTTACAGAGGTTTGGATTCCTGGTCTGCCGTTTATTTATTCATGCATATCCCTTCTTGGAGGCCTTATGCTTTTATGTAAGTATGATTATTTTATGTGTGAGTATGATTGTGAATGATACCATTAGCAAGGGTAATTAAATTAATTTTGACCAGTGAAATTAGAGGGAATAATTTCACATGCGTTTTGTCCAAATCCAAATTATGAGGCGAGGGAAGTTATTAGGATTTCGACAGAATGCGTGTGAAATACTTGTATTATTATTCCCTAATTCCGTGAGTATACCATTTGATTACCCAATAATAAAATTTTTCCAAAGGGGTTAGTCCATGGTCTGGGTCAAAAATTTCAAATTTTCGTAACGTTTCTTTTTATGCCAAATAAAGCGAGAAAAACTATTTGCTGACGTTGTTGTTTGAAAACCAGCCTTTTTAGACGACAGAAACATGGATTTAAAAAACGCAAAATTGGCATATTTGCAAAGGGGATAGTCCATGATTTTGGTCAATAAGTTGAACTTTTTTTATGGTTTGTGTTTCTCAAAAACTGATCGAGAAAAAGTGTTTTTGACATTCTAGATAGAATAGAAACCTATAAAGACTATAAGAACATCTGTTTATAAAAAAAGGAAAAAATTTGAACTTTTTCAAAGGGGTTTACTGCATCCATTTTGTCAAAAATTTAATACCAGTTTAACTTTGATTTGTATGCACAATACATCAAGAAAAAGTATCTGCGGACGCTTAAATTAAAAAAGGTTTCTGTACTCCTTTGTGACCTCCTGTAACCCTTTGTCACCCCTTGTAACCCCCTGTAACCCCTTGTCACCCCTCGTAACCCTTTGTAACCCCCTGTCACCCCTTGTAACCCCCTGGATCCCCATTTAATAAATCGTAAAAGTGAATCGCAAAAAAACGATTTTCGATTGTTTCTACACAAAACAAGCCTGTCTGGACCATAAAGACATCGCTTTCAAAAACCACAAAATTCGCATTCGTTAGTCCATGGTTTGGGTCCAAAGTCGTCCAAAATTTGAAATTTTGTAAAAGTTTTCTTTTATGAAAATTGAAATGAAATGTGAAATTTCTTTAACTTTGATTTTTATGCAGAGTACAACAAGGAAAAGTATTTGCAGACGTTTAAATTACAAAACAGGTTTTCTGTAATCCGTCAAAAATTTGACCTCCTTTAGTTTTTATGCAAAATAGACCAAGAAAAAGTATCTGGGAAGGATCTAGTTAAAAAAAAAGTTTCTATAATCCTTTGAAACCCCCTGTAACCCCTTGTCACCCCCTGTCACCCCTTGTAACCTCATGTAACCCCCTGTAACCCCTTGTAACCCCTTGTAACCCCCTGTAACCCCTTGTAACCCCCTGTATTCCCATGTCATAGATGGTGAAAATAAATCGTGAAAAAACGATTTTCGACGTTTTATATAGCAAACAAGCCTTTTTGAACAACAAAAACATCGGTTTCAAAAACCCACAAAATTAGCATTTTTGCAAAGGGGTTAGTCCATGGTTTTGGTCAAAAATTTGAAATTTTGTGAACGTTTCGTTTGATGCAAAATACACCCAGAAAAAGTATTTGGTGACGTTCTCGTTAGAAAACAAGCCTTTCTAGACAATATAAACATGGATCTAAACAGAAGGCAAAATTGGCATTTTTGCAAAGGGGATAGTCCAAGATTTTGGTCAAACAGTTGAAGTTTTTTCATCTTTTGTGTTTGTCAAAAATACATCGAGAAAAAGTGTTTGCTGAAGTTCTAGATAAAAAAGAAGCCTTCAAAGACTATAAAAACAACTGTCTAAGAAAAACCCAAAATTAGAATTTTTTCAAAGGGGTAGTCATCGTATTTGTGAAAAATTTGAGATTTCTTCAACTTTGGTTTTTGTGAAAAATAGATTAAGAGAAAGTATCTGGGAACGTTCTAGTTACAAAAAGTTTGTATAATTCTTTGAAAATCCCTGTATCCCCTTGTCACCCCCTGTCACCCCTTGTAACCTCTTGTAACCCCCTGTAACCCCTTGTAACCTCCTGTCACCCCTTGTAACCCCCTGCGTTCCCATGTCATAGATGGTAAAAATAAATCGTGAAAAAACGATTTTCGACGTTTTATATAGCAAACAAGGCTTTTTGAACCACAAAAACATCGATTTGAAAAACTCACAAAATTAGTATTTTTGCAAGGGGGTTAGTCCATGGTTTTGGTCAAAAATTTGAAATTTTGTCAACGTTTCGTTTTTTGCAACATACACCCAGAAAAAGTATTTGGTGACGTTCTCGTTAGAAAACAAGATTTTCTAGACAATATAAATATTGACTTAAAAAGAAGGCAAAATTGGCATTTTTGCAAAGGGGATAGTCCATGATTTTGGTCAAAAAGTTGAAGTTTTTTCATCTTTTGTGTTTATCAAAAATGGATCGAGAAAAAGTGTTTGCTGACGTTGTAGATAAAAAAGAAGCCTTTAAATATTATAAAAACAGCTGTGTACGAAAAACGCAAAATTAGAATTTTTTCAAAGGGGTTAGTCCATCGTTTTGGTCAAAAATTTGAGATTTCTTCAACTTTGATTTTGATGCAAAATAGACCAAGAAAACGTATCTGGGAACGTTTTAGTTAGAAAAAAGTTTCTATAAGCCTTTTTAACCCTCTGTAACCCCTTGTCACCCCATGTCACCCCTTGTAACCTCTTGTAACCCCCTGTAACCTCTTGTAACCCCTTGTAACCCCTTGTAACCCCCCTTAACCCCTTGTAACCCCCTGTATTCCCATGTCATAGACGGTTAAAATAAATGGGGAAACAACAATTTTTGACGTTTTATATAGCAAACAAGCCTTTCTGAACAACAAAAACATCGATTTCAAAAACCCACTAAATTGGTATTTTTGCAAAGGGGTTAGTCCATGGTTTTGGTCAAAAATTTGAAATTTTGTGAACGTTTCTTTTTATGCAATATACACCCAGAAAAAGTATTTGGTGACGCTTTGGTTAGAAAACAAGCCTTTCTAGACAATATAAACATGGATTTAAAAAGAAGGCAAAATTGGCATTTTTGCAAAGGGGATAGTCCATGATTTTGGTCAAAAAGTTGAAGTTTTTTCATCTTTTGTGTTTATCAAAAATGGATCGACAAAAAGTGTTTGCTGACGTTGTAGATAAAAAAGAAGCCTTTAAAGATTATAAAAACAGCTGTGTACGAAAAACGAAAAATTAGAATTTTTTCAAAGGGGTTAGTCCATCGTTTTGGTCAAAAATTTGAGATTTCTTCAACTTTGATTTTGCTGCAAAAGAGACCAAGAAAACGTATCTGGGTACGTTTTAGTTAGAAAAAAGTTTCTATAATCCTTTTTAACCCTCTGTAACCCCTTGTCACCCCATGTCACCCCTTGTAACCTCTTGTAACCCCCTGTAACCTCTTGTAACCCCTTGTAACCCCTTGTAACCCCCTGTAACCCCTTGTACTCCCCTGTATTCCCATGTCATAGACGGTTAAAATAAATGGGGAAACAACAATTTTTGACGTTTTATATAGCAAACAAGCCTTTCTGAACAACAAAAACATCGGTTTCAAAAACCCACAAAATTGGCATTTTTGCAAAGGGGTTAGTCCATGGTTTTGGTCAAAAATTTGAAATTTTGTGAACGTTTCTTTTTATGCAATATACACCCAGAAAAAGTATTTGGTGACGCTTTGGTTAGAAAACAAGCCTTTCTAGACAATATAAACATGGATTTAAAAAGAAGGCAAAATTGGTATTTTTGAAAAGGGGATAGTCCATGATTTTGGTCAAAAAGTTGTAGTTTTTTCATCTTTTGTGTTTATCAAAAATGGATCGACAAAAAGTGTTTGCTGACGTTGTAGATAAAAAAGAAGCCTTTAAAGATTATAAAAACAGCTGTGTACGAAAAACGAAAAATTAGAATTTTTTCAAAGGGGTTAGTCCATCGTTTTGGTCAAAAATTTGAGATTTCTTCAACTTTGATTTTGATGCAAAATAGACCAAGAAAACGTATCTGGGAACGTTTTAGTTAGAAAAAAGTTTCTATAATCCTTTTTAACCCTCTGTAACCCCTTGTCACCCCATGTCACCCCTTGTAACCCTTGTAACCCTCTGTAACCCCTTGTACCCCCCTTGTAACCCCTTGTAACCCCTTGTAACCCCTTGTAACCCCTTGTAACCCCTGTAACCCGTTGTAACTCCTGTATTCCCATGTCATAGATGGTGAAAATAAATCGTGAAAAAACGATTTTCGACGTTTTATATAGCAAACAAGCCTTTCTGAACAACAAAAACATCGGTTTCAAAAACCCACAAAATTGGCATTTTTGCAAAGGGGTTAGTCCATGGTTTTGGTCAAAAATTTGAAATTTTGTGAACGTTTCTTTTTATGCAATATACACCCAGAAAAAGTATTTGGTGACGCTCTGGTTAGAAAACAAGCCTTTCTAGACAATATAAACATGGATTTAAAAAGAAGGCAAAATTGGCATTTTTGCAAAGGGGATAGTCCATGATTTTGGTCAAAAAGTTGAAGTTTTTTCATCTCTTGTGTTTATCAAAAATGGATCGAGAAAAAGTGTTTGCTGACGTTGTAGCTAAAAAAGAAGCCTTTAAAGATTATAAAAACAGCTGTGTACGAAAAACGCAAAATTAGAATTTTTTCAAAGGGGTTAGTCCATCGTTTTGGTCAAAAATTTGAGATTTCTTCAACTTTGATTTTGATGCAAAATAGACCAAGAAAACGTATCTGGGAACGTTTTAGTTAGAAAAAAGTTTCTATAATCCTTTTTAACCCTCTGTAACCCCTTGTCACCCCATGTCACCCCTTGTAACCTCTTGTAACCCCCTGTAACCTGTTGTAAGCCCTTGTAACCCCTTGTAACCCCCTGTAACCCCTTGTAACCCCCTGTATTCCCATGTCATAGACGGTGAAAATAAATGGGGAAACAACAATTTTTCACGTTTTATATAGCAAACAAGCCCTTCTGAACAACAAAAACATCGATTTCAAAAACCCACTAAATTGGTATTTTTGCAAAGGGGTTAGTCCATGGTTTTGGTCAAAAATTTGAAATTTTGTGAACGTTTCTTTTTATGCAATATACACCCAGAAAAAGTATTTGGTGACGCTCTGGTTAGAAAACAAGCCTTTCTAGACAATATAAACATGGATTTAAAAAGAAGGCAAAATTGGCATTTTTGCAAAGGGGATAGTCCATGATTTTGGTCAAAAAGTTGTAGTTTTTTCATCTTTTGTGTTTATCAAAAATGGATCGACAAAAAGTGTTTGCTGACGTTGTAGATAAAAAAGAAGCCTTTAAAGATTATAAAAACAGCTGTGTACGAAAAACGAAAAATTAGAATTTTTTCAAAGGGGTTAGTCCATCGTTTTGGTCAAAAATTTGAGATTTCTTCAACTTTGATTTTGATGCAAAATAGACCAAGAAAACGTATCTGGGAACGTTCTAGTTAGAGAAAAGTTTCTATAATCCTTTGAAACCCCCAGTAACCCCTTGTCACCCCCTGTCACCCCTTGTAACCTCTTGTAACCCACTGTAACCCCTTGTAACCCCTTGTAACCCCTTGTAACCCCTTGTAACCCCCTGTAACCCCTTGTAACCCCCTGTATTCCCATGTCATAGATGGTGAAAATAAATCGTGAAAAAACGATTTTCGACGTTTTATATAGCAAACAAGCCTTTCTGAACAACAAAAACATCGGTTTCAAAAACCCACAAAATTGGCATTTTTGCAAAGGGGTTAGTCCATGGTTTTGGTCAAAAATTTGAAATTTTGTGAACGTTTCTTTTTATGCAATATACACCCAGAAAAAGTATTTGGTGACGCTCTGGTTAGAAAACAAGCCTTTCTAGACAATATAAACATGGATTTAAAAAGAAGGCAAAATTGGCATTTTTGCAAAGGGGATAGTCCATGATTTTGGTCAAAAAGTTGAAGTTTTTTCATGTTTTGTGTTTATCAAAAATGGATCGAGAAAAAGTGTTTGCTGACGTTGTAGATAAAAAAGAAGCCTTTAAAGATTATAAAAACAGCTGTGTACGAAAAACGCAAAATTAGAATTTTTTCAAAGGGGTTAGTCCATCGTTTTGGTCAAAAATTTGAGATTTCTTCAACTTTGATTTTGATGCAAAATAGACCAAGAAAACGTATCTGGGAACGTTCTAGTTAGAGAAAAGTTTCTATAATCCTTTGAAACCCCCTGTAACCCCTTGTCACCCCCTGTCACCCCTTGTAACCTCTTGTAACCCCTGTAACCCCTTGTAACCCCTTGTAACCCCCCTGTAACCCCTTGTAACCCCCCCCCTGTATTCCCATGTCATAGATGGTGAAAATAAATCGTGAAAAAACGATTTTCGACGTTTTATATAGCAAACAAGCCTTTCTGAACAACAAAAACATCGGTTTCAAAAACCCACAAAATTGGCATTTTTGCAAAGGGGTTAGTCCATGGTTTTGGTCAAAAATTTGAAATTTTGTGAACGTTTCTTTTTATGCAATATACACCCAGAAAAAGTATTTGGTGACGCTCTGGTTAAAAAACAAGCCTTTCTAGACAATATAAACATGGATTTAAAAAGAAGGTAAAATTGGCATTTTTGCAAAGGGGATAATCCATGATTTTGGTCAAAAAGTTGAAGTTTTTTCATGTTTTGTGTTTATCAAAAATGGATCGAGAAAAAGTGTTTTCTGACGTTGTAGATAAAAAAGAAGCCTTTAAATATTATAAAAACAGCTGTGTACGAAAAACGAAAAATTAGAATTTTTTCAAAGGGGTTAGTCCATCGTTTTGGTCAAAAATTTGAGATTTCTTCAACTTTGATTTTGATGCAAAATAGACCAAGAAAACGTATCTGGGAACGTTTTAGTTAGAAAAAAGTTTCTATAATCCTTTTTAACCCTCTGTAACCCCTTGTCACCCCATGTCACCCCTTGTAACCTCTTGTAACCCCCTGTAACCCCTTGTAACCCCTTGTAACCCCCTGTAACCCCTTGTAACCCCCTGTAACCCCTTGTAACCCCCCGTATTCCCATGTCATAGACGGTTAAAATAAATGGGGAAACAACAATTTTTGACGTTTTATATAGCAAACAAGCCTTTCTGAACAACAAAAACATCGGTTTCAAAAACCCACAAAATTGGCATTTTTGCAAAGGGGTTAGTCCATGGTTTTGGTCAAAAATTTGAAATTTTGTGAACGTTTCTTTTTATGCAATATACACCCAGAAAAAGTATTTGGTGACGCTCTGGTTAAAAAACAAGCCTTTCTAGACAATATAAACATGGATTTAAAAAGAAGGTAAAATTGGCATTTTTGCAAAGGGGATAATCCATGATTTTGGTCAAAAAGTTGAAGTTTTTTCATGTTTTGTGTTTATCAAAAATGGATCGACAAAAAGTGTTTTCTGACGTTGTAGATAAAAAAGAAGCCTTTAAATATTATAAAAACAGCTGTGTACGAAAAACGCAAAATTAGAATTTTTTCAAAGGGGTTAGTCCATCGTTTTGGTCAAAAATTTGAGATTTCTTCAACTTTGATTTTGATGCAAAATAGACCAAGAAAACGTATCTGGAAACGTTCTAGTTAGAGAAAAGTTTCTATAATCCTTTGAAACCCCCTGTAACCCCTTGTCACCCCCTGTCACCCCTTGTAACCTCTTGTAACCCCCTGTAACCCCTTGTAACCCCTTGTAACCCCCTGTAACCCCTTGTAACCCCCTGTATTCCCATGTCATAGATGGTGAAAATAAATCGTGAAAAAACGATTTTCGACGTTTTATATAGCAAACAAGCCTTTCTGAACAACAAAAACATCGGTTTCAAAAACCCACAAAATTGGCATTTTTGCAAAGGGGTTAGTCCATGGTTTTGGTCAAAAGTTAGAAATTTTGTGAACGTTTCTTTTTATGCAATATACACCCAGAAAAAGTATTTGGTGACGCTTTGGTTAGAAAACAAGCCTTTCTAGACAATATAAACATGGATTTAAAAAGAAGGCAAAATTGGCATTTTTGCAAAGGGGATAGTCCATGATTTTGGTCGAAAAGTTGTAGTTTTTTCATCTTTTGTGTTTATCAAAAATGGATCGAGAAAAAGTGTTTGCTGACGTTTTAGATAAAAAAGAAGGCTTTAAAGATTATCAAAACAGCTGTGTACGAAAAACGCAAAATTAGAATTTTTTCAAAGGGGTTAGTCCATCGGTTTGGTAAAAAATTTGAGATTTCTTCAACTATGATTTTTGTGCACAATAGACCAAGAAAACGTATCTGGGAACGTTCTAGTTAGAGAAAAGTTTCCATAATCCTTTAAAACCCCCTGTAACCCCTTGTCACCCCCTGTCACCCCTTGTAACCTCTTGTAACCCCCTGTAACTCCTTGTAACCCCTTGTAACGCCCTGTAACCCCTTGTAACCCCCTGTATTCCCATGTTATAGATGGTGAAAATAAATCGTGAAAAAACGATTTTCGACGTTTTATATAGCAAAAAAGCCTTTCTGAACAACAAAAACATCGGTTTCAAAAACCCACAAAATTGGCATTTTTGCAAAGGGGTTAGTCCATGGTTTTGGTCAAAAATTTGAAATTTTGTGAACGTTTCTTTTTATGCAATATACACCCAGAAAAAGTATTTGGTGACGCTTTGGTTAGAAAACAAGCCTTTCTGGACAATATAAACATGGATTTAAAAAGAAGGCAAAATTGGCATTTTTGCAAAGGGGATAGTCCATGATTTTGGTCAAAAAGTTGTAGTTTTTTCATCTTTTGTGTTTATCAAAAATGGATCGAGAAAAAGTGTTTGCTGACGTTGTAGATAAAAAAGAAGCCTTTAAAGATTATCAAAACAGCTGTGTACGAAAAACGCAAAATTAGAATTTTTTCAAAGGGGTTAGTCCATCGTTTTGGTCAAAAATTTGAGATTTCTTCAACTTTGATTTTTGTGCACAATAGACCAAGAAAACGTATCTGGGAACGTTCTAGTTAGAGAAAAGTTTCTATAATCCTTTGAAACCCCCTGTAACCCCTTGTCACCCCCTGTCACCCCTTGTAACCTCTTGTAACCCCCTGTAACCCCTTGTAACCCCTTGTAACCCCCTGTAACCCCTTGTAACCCCCTGTATTCCCATGTCATAGATGGTGAAAATAAATCGTGAAAAAACGATTTTCGACGTTTTATATAGCAAACAAGCCTTTCTGAACAACAAAAACATCGGTTTCAAAAACCCACAAAATTGGCATTTTTGCAAAGGGGTTAGTCCATGGTTTTGGTCAAAAATTTGAAATTTTGTGAACGTTTCTTTTTATGCAATATACACCCAGAAAACGTATTTGGTGACGCTTTGGTTAGAAAACAAGCCTTTCTAGACAATATAAACATGGATTTAAAAAGAAGGCAAAATTGGCATTTTTGCAAAGGGGATAGTCCATGATTTTGGTCAAAAAGTTGTAGTTTTTTCATCTTTTGTGTTTATCAAAAATGGATCGAGAAAAAGTGTTTGCTGACGTTTTAGATAGAAAAGAAGGCTTTAAAGATTATCAAAACAGCTGTGTACGAAAAACGCAAAATTAGAATTTTTTCAAAGGGGTTAGTCCATCGGTTTGGTAAAAAATTTGAGATTTCTTCAACTATGATTTTTGTGCACAATAGACCAAGAAAACGTATCTGGGAACGTTCTAGTTAGAGAAAAGTTTCTATAATCCTTTGAAACCCCCTGTAACCCCTTGTCACCCCCTGTCACCCCTTGTAACCTCTTGTAACCCCCTGTAACCCCTTGTAACCCCTTGTAACCCCCTGTAACCCCTTGTAACCCCCTGTATTCCCATGTCATAGATGGTGAAAATAAATCGTGAAAAAACGATTTTCGACGTTTTATATAGCAAACAAGCCTTTCTGAACAACAAAAACATCGGTTTCAAAAACCCACAAAATTGGCATTTTTGCAAAGGGGTTAGTCCATGGTTTTGGTCAAAAGTTAGAAATTTTGTGAACGTTTCTTTTTATGCAATATACACCCAGAAAAAGTATTTGGTGACGCTTTGGTTAGAAAACAAGCCTTTCTAGACAATATAAACATGGATTTAAAAAGAAGGCAAAATTGGCATTTTTGCAAAGGGGATAGTCCATGATTTTGGTCGAAAAGTTGTAGTTTTTTCATCTTTTGTGTTTATCAAAAATGGATCGAGAAAAAGTGTTTGCTGACGTTTTAGATAGAAAAGAAGGCTTTAAAGATTATCAAAACAGCTGTGTACGAAAAACGCAAAATTAGAATTTTTTCAAAGGGGTTAGTCCATCGTTTTGGTCAAAAATTTGAGATTTCTTCAACTTTGATTTTGATGCAAAATAGACCAAGAAAACGTATCTGGGAACGTTTTAGCTAGAAAAAAGTTTCTATAATCCTTTTTAACCCTCTGTAACCCCTTGTCACCCCATGTCACCCCTTGTAACCTCTTGTAACCCCCTGTAACCTCTTGTAACCCCTTGTAACCCCTTGTAACCCCCTGTAACCCCTTGTAACCCCCTGTATTCCCATGTCATAGACGGTGAAAATAAATGGGGAAACAACGATTTTTGACGTTTTATATAGCAAACTAGCCTTTCTGAACAACAAAAACATCGATTTCAAAAACCCACAAAATTGGTATTTTTGCAAAGGGGTTAGTCCATGGTTTTGGTCAAAAATTTGAAATTTTGTGAACGTTTCTTTTTATCCAAAATACACCCAGAAAAAGTATTTGGTGACGCTTTGGTTAGAAAACAAGCCTTTCTAGACAATATAAACATGGATTTAAAAAGAAGGCAAAATTGGCTTTTTTGCAAAGGGGACAGTCTATGATTTTGGTCAAAAAGTTGTAGTTTTTTCATCTTTTGTGTTTATCAAAAATGGATCGACAAAAAGTGTTTGCTGACGTTCTAGATAAAAAAGAAGCCTTTATAGATTATAAAAACAGCTGTGTACGAAAAACGCAAAATTAGAATTTTTTCAAAGGGGTTAGTCAATCGTTTTGGTGAAAAATTTGAGATTTCTTCAACTTTGATTTTGATGCAAAATAGACCAAGAAAACGTATCTGGGAACGTTCTAGTTAGAGAAAAGTTTCTATAATCCTTTGAAACCCCCTGTAACCCCTTGTCACCCCCTGTCACCCCTTGTAACCTCTTGTAACCCCCTGTAACCCCTTGTAACCCCTTGTAACCCCCTGTAACCCCTTGTAACCCCCTGTATTCCCATGTCATAGATGGTGAAAATAAATCGTGAAAAAACGATTTTCGACGTTTTATATAGCAAACAAGCCTTTCTGAACAACAAAAACATCGGTTTCAAAAACCCACAAAATTGGCATTTTTGCAAAGGGGTTAGTCCATGGTTTTGGTCAAAAATTTGAAATTTTGTGAACGTTTCTTTCTATGCAATATACACCCAGAAAACGTATTTGGTGACGCTTTGGTTAGAAAACAAGCCTTTCTAGACAATATAAACATGGATTTAAAAAGAAGGCAAAATTGGCATTTTTGCAAAGGGGATAGTCCATGATTTTGGTCAAAAAGTTGTAGTTTTTTCATCTTTTGTGTTTATCAAAAATGGATCGACAAAAAGTGTTTGCTGACGTTCTAGATAAAAAAGAAGCCTTTAAAGATTATAAAAACAGCTGTGTACGAAAAACGCAAAATTAGAATTTTTTGAAAGGGGTTAGTCCATCGTTTTGGTCAAAGATTTGAGATCTTCAACTTTGATTTTTGTGCAAAATAGACCAAGAAAACGTATCTGGGAACGTTCTAGTTAGAGAAAAGTTTCTATAATCCTTTGAAACCCCCTGTAACCCCTTGTCACCCCCTGTCACCCCTTGTAACCTCTTGTAACCCCCACCCCTTGTAACCCCTTGTAACCCCCTGTATTCCCATGTCATAGATGGTTAAAATAAATCGTGAAAAAACGATTTTCGACGTTTTATATAGCAAACAAGCCTTTCTGAACAACAAAAACATCGGTTTCAAAAACCCACAAAATTGGCATTTTTGCAAAGGGGTTAGTCCATGGTTTTGGTCAAAAATTTGAAATTTTGTAAACGTTTCCTTTTATGCAAAATACACCCAGAAAAAGTATTTGGTGACGCTCTGGTTAGAAAACAAGCCTTTCTAGACAATATAAACATGGATTTAAAAAGAAGGCAAAATTGGCATTTTTGCAAAGGGGATAGTCCATGCTTTTGGTCAAAAAGTTGTAGTTTTTTCATCTTTTGTGTTTATCAAAAATGGATCGAGAAAAAGTGTTTTCTGACGTTGTAGATAAAAAAGAAGCCTTTAAATATTATAAAAACAGCTGTGTACGAAAAACGCAAAATTAGAATTTTTTCAAAGGGGTTAGTCCATCGTTTTGGTCAAAAATTTGAGATTTCTTCAACTTTGATTTTGATGCAAAATAGACCAAGAAAACGTATCTGGGAACGTTCTAGTTAGAGAAAAGTTTCTATAATCCTTTGAAACCCCCTGTAACCCCTTGTCACCCCCTGTCACCCCTTGTAACCTCTTGTAACCCCCTGTAACCCCTTGTAACCCCTTGTAACCCCCTGTAACCCCTTGTAACCCCCTGTATTCCCATGTCATAGACGGTGAAAATAAATGGGGAAACAACGATTTTTGACGTTTTATATAGCAAACAAGCCTTTCTGAACAACAAAAACATCGATTTCAAAAACCCACAAAATTGGTATTTTTGCAAAGGGGTTAGTCCATGGTTTTGGTCAAAAATTTGAAATTTTGTGAACGTTTCTTTTTATCCAAAATACACCCAGAAAAAGTATTTGGTGACGCTCTGGTTAGAAAACAAGCCTTTCTAGACAATATAAACATGGATTTAAAAAGAAGGCAAAATTGGCATTTTTGCAAAGGGGATAGTCCATGATTTTGGTCAAAAAGTTGTAGTTTTTTCATCTTTTGTGTTTATCAAAAATGGATCGAGAAAAAGTGTTTGCTGACGTTGTAGATAAAAAAGAAGCCTTTAAAGATTATAAAAACAGCTGTGTACGAAAAACGCAAAATTAGAATTTTTTCAAAGGGGTTAGTCCATCGTTTTGGTGAAAAATTTGAGATTTCTTCAACTTTGATTTTGATGCAAAATAGACCAAGAAAACGTATCTGGGAACGTTCTAGTTAGAAAAAAGTTTCTATAATCCTTTGTAACCCTCTGTAACCCCTTGTCACCCCCTGTCACCCCTTGTAACCTCTTGTAACCCCCTGTAACCTCTTGTAACCCCTTGTAACCCCTTGTAACCCCCTCTAACCCCTTGTAACCCCCTGTATTCCCATGTCATAGACGGTGAAAATAAATGGGGAAACAACGATTTTTGACGTTTTATATAGCAAACAAGCCTTTCTGAACAACAAAAACATCGATTTCAAAAACCCACAAAATTGGTATTTTTGCAAAGGGGTTAGTCCATGGTTTTGGTCAAAAATTTGAAATTTTGTAAACGTTTCCTTTTATGCAAAATACACCCAGAAAAAGTATTTGGTGACGCTCTGGTTAGAAAACAAGCCTTTCTAGACAATATAAACATGGATTTAAAAAGAAGGCAAAATTGGCATTTTTGCAAAGGGGATAGTCCATGATTTTGGTCAAAAAGTTGAAGTTTTTTCATCTTTTGTGTTTATCAAAAATGGATCGAGAAAAAGTGTTTGCTGACGTTGTAGATAAAAAAGAAGCCTTTAAATATTATAAAAACAGCTGTGTACGAAAAACGCAAAATTAGAATTTTTTCCATCGTTTTGGTCAAAAATTTCAGATTTCTTCAAGTTTGATTTTTGTGCACAATAGACCAAGAAAACGTATCTGGGAACGTTCTAGTTAGAGAAAAGTTTCTATAATCCTTTTAACCCTCTGTAACCCCTTGTCACCCCTGTCACCCCTGTCACCCCTTGTAACCCTTGTAACCCCTGTAACCTCTTGTAACCCCTTGTAACCCCTTGTAACCCCCTGTAACCCCTTGTAACCCCCTGTATTCCCATGTCATAGACGGTTAAAATAAATAGGGAAACAACAATTTTTGACGTTTTATATAGCAAACAAGCCTTTCTGAACAACAAAAACATCGATTTCAAAAAACCCACTAAATTGGTATTTTTGCAAAGGGGTTAGTCCATGGTTTTGGTCAAAAATTTGAAATTTGGTAAACGTTTCCGTTTATGCAAAATACACCCAGAAAAAGTATTTGGTGACGCTCTGGTTAGAAAACAAGCCTTTCTAGACAATATAAACATGGATTTAAAAAGAAGGCAAAATTGGCATTTTTGCAAAGGGGATAGTCCATGATTTTGGTCAAAAAGTTGAAGTTTTTTCATCTTTTGTGTTTATCAAAAATGGATCGAGAAAAAGTGTTTGCTGACGTTGTAGATAAAAAAGAAGCCTTTAAATATTATAAAAACAGCTGTGTACGAAAAACGCAAAATTAGAATTTTTTCCATCGTTTTGGTCAAAAATTTCAGATTTCTTCAAGTTTGATTTTTGTGCACAATAGACCAAGAAAACGTATCTGGGAACGTTCTAGTTAGAGAAAAGTTTCTATAATCCTTTGAAACCCCCTGTAACCCCTTGTCACCCCCTGTCACCCCTTGTAACCTCTTGTAACCCCCTGTAACCCCTTGTAACCCCTTGTAACCCCCTGTAACCCCTGGTAACCCCCTGTATTCCCATGTCATAGACGGTGAAAATAAATGGGGAAACAACGATTTTTGACGTTTTATATAGCAAACAAGCCTTTCTGAACAACAAAAACATCGATTTCAAAAACCCACAAAATTGGTATTTTTGCAAAGGGGTTAGTCCATGGTTTTGGTCAAAAATTTGAAATTTTGTGAACGTTTCTTTTTATCCAAAATACACCCAGAAAAAGTATTTGGTGACGCTCTGGTTAGAAAACAAGCCTTTCTAGACAATATAAACATGGATTTAAAAAGAAGGCAAAATTGGCATTTTTGCAAAGGAGATAGTCCATGATTTTGGTCAAAAAGTTGAAGTTTTTTCATCTTTTGTGTTTATCAAAAATGGATCGACAAAAAGTGTTTGCTGACGTTGTAGATAAAAAAGAAGCCTTTAAATATTATAAAAACAGCTGTGTACGAAAAACGCAAAATTAGAATTTTTTCCATCGTTTTGGTCAAAAATTTCAGATTTCTTCAAGTTTGATTTTTGTGCACAATAGACCAAGAAAACGTATCTGGGAACGTTCTAGTTAGAGAAAAGTTTCTATAATCCTTTGAAACCCCCTGTAACCCCTTTTGACCCCCTGTAACCCCTTGTAACCTCTTGTAACCCCCTGTAACCCCTTGTAACCCCTTGTAACCCCCTGTAACCCCTTGTAACCCCCTGTATTCCCATGTCATAGACGGTTAAAATAAATGGGGAAACAACAATTTTTGACGTTTTATATAGCAAACAAGCCTTTCTGAACAACAAAAACATCGATTTCAAAAACCCACTAAATTGGTATTTTTGCAAAGGGGTTAGTCCATGGTTTTGGTCAAAAATTTGAAATTTTGTAAACGTTTCCTTTTATGCAAAATACACCCAGAAAAAGTATTTGGTGACGCTCTGGTTAGAAAACAAGCCTTTCTAGACAATATAAACATGGATTTAAAAAGAAGGCAAAATTGGCATTTTTGCAAAGGGGATAGTCCATGATTTTGGTCAAAAAGTTGAAGTTTTTTCATCTTTTGTGTTTATCAAAAATGGATCGAGAAAAAGTGTTTGCTGATGTTGTAGATAAAAAAGAAGCCTTTAAATATTATAAAAACAGCTGTGTACGAAAAATGCAAAATTAGAATTTTTTCCATCGTTTTGGTCAAAAATTTCAGATTTCTTCAAGTTTGATTTTTGTGCACAATAGACCAAGAAAACGTATCTGGGAACGTTCTAGTTAGAGAAAAGTTTCTATAATCCTTTGAAACCCCCTGTAACCCCCCTTGTCACCCCCTGTCACCCTTGTAACCTCTTGTAACCCCTTGTAACCCCTTTGTAACCCCTTGTAACCCCCTGTAACCCCTTGTAACCTCCTGTATTCCCATGTCATAGATGGTGAAAATAAATCGTGAAAAAACGATTTTCGACGTTTTATATAGCAAACAAGCCTTTCTGAACAACAAAAACATCGGTTTCAAAAACCCACTAAATTGGTATTTTTGCAAAGGGGTTAGTCCATGGTTTTGGTCAAAAATTTGAAATTTTGTAAACGTTTCCTTTTATGCAAAATACACCCAGAAAAAGTATTTGGTGACGCTCTGGTTAGAAAACAAGCCTTTCTAGACAATATAAACATGGATTTAAAAAGAAGGCAAAATTGGCATTTTTGCAAAGGGGATAGTCCATGATTTTGGTCAAAAAGTTGAAGTTTTTTCATGTTTTGTGTTTATCAAAAATGGATCGAGAAAAAGTGTTTGCTGACGTTGTAGATAAAAAAGAAGCCTTTAAAGATTATAAAAACAGCTGTGTACGAAAAACGCAAAATTAGAATTTTTTCAAAGGGGTTAGTCCATTGTTTTGGTCAAAAATTTGAGATTTCTTCAACTTTGATTTTGATGCAAAATAGACCAAGAAAACGTATCTGGGAACGTTCTAGTTAGAGAAAAGTTTCTATAATCCTTTGAAACCCCCTGTAACCCCTTGTCACCCCCTGTCACCCCTTGTAACCTCTTGTAACCCCCTGTAACCCCTTGTAACCCCTTGTAACCCCTTGTAACCCCCTGTATTCCCATGTCATAGATGGTGAAAATAAATCGTGAGAAAACGATTTTCGACGTTTTATATAGCAAACAAGCCTTTCTGAACAACAAAAACATCGGTTTCAAAAACCCACAAAATTGGCATTTTTGCAAAGGGGTTAGTCCATGGTTTTGGTCAAAAATTTGAAATTTTGTAAACGTTTCCGTTTATGCAAAATACACCCAGAAAAAGTATTTGGTGACGCTGTAGTTAGAAAACAAGCCTTTCTAGACAATATAAACATGGATTTAAAAAGAAGGCAAAATTGGTATTTTTGCAAACGGGATAGTCCATGATTTTGGTCAAAAAGTTGAAGTTTTTTCATGTTTTGTGTTTATCAAAAATGGATCGAGAAAAAGTGTTTGCTGACGTTGTAGATAAAAAAGAAGCCTTTAAAGATTATAAAAACAGCTGTGTACGAAAAACGAAAAATTAGAATTTTTTCAAAGGGGCTCGTCCATCGTTTTGGTGAAAAATTTGAGATTTCTTCAACTTTGATTTTTATGCAAAATAGACCAAGAAAACGTATCTGGGAACGTTTTAGCTAGAAAAAAGTTTCTATAATCCTTTTTAACCCTCTGTAACCCCTTGTCACCGCATGTCACCCCTTGTAACCTCTTGTAACCTCTTGTAACCACCTGTAACCCCTTGTAACCCCTTGTAACCCCCTGTAACTCTTTGTAACCCCCTGTATTCCCATGTCATAGATAGTGAAAATAAATCGTAAAAAAAAGATATTCGACGTTTTATATAGCAGACAAGTCTTTTTGAAGAACAAAAACATCGGTTTCAAAAACCCACAAAATTGGCATTTTTGCAAAGGGGTTAGTCAATGGTTTTGGTCAAAAATTTGAAATTTTGTGAACGTTTCGTTTGATGCAAAATACACCCAGAAAAAGTATTTGGTGACGTTCTCGTTAGAAAACAAGCCTTTCTAGACAGTATAAACATGAATTTAAAAAGAAGGCAAAATTGGCATTTTTGCAAAGGGGATAGTCTATGATTTTGGTCAAAAAGTTGAAGTTTTTTCATCTTTTGTGTTTATCAAAAATGGATCGCGAAAAAGTGTTTGCTGACGTTCTAGATAAAAAGAAGCCTTTAAAGATTATAAAACAACTGTGTACGAAAAAACGCAAAATTAGAATTTTTTTCAAAGGGGTTAGTCCATCGTTTTGGTCAAAAATTTGAGATTTCTTCAACTTTGATTTTTTGATGCAAAATAGACCAAGAAAAACGTATCTGGGAACGTTCTAGTTAGAAAAAGTTTCTATAATCCTTTTAAAACCCCCTGTAACCCCTTGTCACCCCCTGTCACCCCTTGTAACCTCTTGTAACCCCTGTAACCCCTTGTAACCCCTTAACCCCTTGTAACCCCCTGTAACCCTTTGTAACCCCCTGTAATCCCATGTCATAGATGGTGAAAATAAATCGTGAAAAAACGATTTTCGACGTTTTATATAGCAAACAAGCCTTTTTGAAGAAGAAAAACATCGGTTTCAAAAACCCACAAAATTAGCATTTTTGCAAAGGGGTTAGTCCATGGTTTTGGTCAAAAATTTGAAATTTTGTGAACGTTTCGTTTTTTGCAAAATACACCCAGAAAAAGTATTTGGTGACGTTCTCGTTAGAAAAGAAGCTTTTCTAGACAATATAAATATTGATTTAAAAAGAAGACAAAATTGGCATTTTTGCAAAGGGGATAGTCCATGATTTTGGTCAAAAAGTTGAAGTTTTTTCATCTTTTGTGTTTATCAAAAATGGATCGAGAAAAAGTGTTTGCTGACGTTCTAAATAAAAAGAATCCTTTAAAGACTATAAAAACAACTGTGTACGAAAAACGCAAAATTAGAATTTTTTCAAAGGGGTTAGTCCATCGTTTTGGTCAAAAATTTGAGATTTCTTCAACTTTGATTTTTATGCAAAATAGACCAAGAAAAAGTATCTGGGAACGTTCTATTTAGAAAAAGTTTCTATAATCCTTTGTAACCCCCTGTAACCCTTGTCACCCTTGTCACCCCTTGTCACCCCTTGTAACCCCTTGTAACCCTTGTAACCCCTTGTAACCCCTTGTAACCCCCTTGTAACCCTTGTTGTAACCCCTGTAACCCCTTGTAACCCCCCTGTATTCCCATGTCATAGATGGTGAAAATAAATCGTGAAAAAACGATTTTCGACGTTTTATATAGCAAACAAGTCTTTTTGAAGAACAAAAACATCGGTTTCAAAAACCCACAAAATTGGCATTTTTGCAAAGGGGTTAGTCAATGGTTTTGGTCAAAAATTTGAAATTTTGTGAACGTTTCGTTTGATGCAAAATACACCCAGAAAAAGTATTTGGTGACGTTCTCGTTAGAAAACAAGCCTTTCTAGACAGTATAAACATGAATTTAAAAAGAAGGCAAAATTGGCATTTTTGCAAAGGGGATAGTACATGATTTGTGTCAAAAAGTTCAAGTTTTTTCATGTTTGGTGTTTATCAAAAATACATGGGGAAAAAGTGTTTGCTGACGTTCTAAATAAAAAAGAATCCTTTAAAGACTATAAAAACAACTGTTTACGAAAAACGCAAAATTAGAATTTTTTCAAACGGGTTAGTCCATCGTTTTGGTCAAAAATTTGAGATTTCTTCAACTTTGATTTTTATGCAAAATAGACCAAGAAAAAGTATCTGAGAACGTTCTATTTAGAAAAAGTTTCTATAATCCTTTGTAACCCTCTGTAACCCCTTGTCACCCCCTGTCACCCCTTGTAACCCTTGTAACCCCTTGTAACCCCTTGTAACCCCTTGTAACCCCTTGTAACCCCCTGTAACCCCTTGTAACCCCCCCGTATTCCCATGTCATAGATGGTGAAAATAAATCGTGAAAAAACGATTTGCGACGTTTTATATAGCAAACAAGCCTTTTTGAAGAACAAAAACATCGATTTGAAAAACTCACAAAATTAGCATTTTTGCAAAGGGGTTAGTCCATGGTTTTTGTCAAAAATTTGAAATTTTGTGAACGTTTCGTTTTTTGCAAAATACACCCAGAAAAAGTATTTGGTGACGTTCTCGTTAGAAAAACAACCCTTTCTAGACAATATAAATATGGATTTAAAAAGAAGGCAAAATTGGTATTTTTGCAAAGGGGATAGTCCATGATTTTGGTCAAAAAGTTGAAGTTTTTTCATGTTTGGTGTTTATCAAAAATACATGGGGAAAAAGTGTTTGCTGACGTTCTAAATAACAAAAAAATCCTTTAAAGACTATAAAAACAACTGTTTACGAAAAACGCAAAATTAGAATTTTTTCAAAGGGGTTAGTCCATCGTTTTGGTCAAAAATTTGAGATTTTTCAACTTTGATTTTTTAAGCAAAATAGACCAAGAAAAAGTATTTGGTGACGTTCTCGTTAGAAAACAAGCCTTTCTAGACAATATAAACATGGATTTAAAAAGAAGGCAAAATTGGCATTTTTGCAAAGGGGATAGTACATGATTTTTGTCAAAAAAGTTCAAGTTTTTTCATGTTTGGTGTTTAAAAAAAAAATACATGGGGAAAAAGTGTTTGCTGACGTTCTAAATAAAAAGAATCCTTTAAAGACTATAAAAACAACTGTTTACGAAAAAACGCAAAATTAGAATTTTTTCAAAGGGGTTAGTCCATCGTTTTGGTCAAAAATTTGAGATTTCTTCAACTTTGATTTTTTGCAAAATAGACCAAAAATAGACCAAGACAAAGTATCTGAGAACGTTCTATTTAGAAAAAAGTTTCTATAATCCTTTGTAACCCTCTGTAATCCCTTGTCACCCCCTTTCACCCCTTGTGACCTCTTGTAACCCTGTGTAACCCCTTGTCACCCCCTGTCACCCCTTGTAACCTCTTGTAACCCCCTGTAACCCCTTGTAACCCCTTGTAACCCGTTGTAACCCCCTGTATTCCCATGTCATAGATGGTGAAAATAAATCGTGAAAAAACGATTTTCGACGTTTTATATAGCAAACAAGCCTTTTTGAACAACAAATACATCGGTTTTAAAAACCCACAAAATTGGCATTTTTGCAAAGGGGTTAGTCCATGGTTTTGGTCAAAAATTTGAAATTTTGTGAACGTTTCGTTTGATGCAAAATACACCCAGAAAAAGTATTTGGTGACGTTCTCGTTAGAAAACAAGCCTTTCTAGACAATATAAACATGGATTTAAAAAGAAGGCAAAATTGGCATTTTTGCAAAGGGGATAGTCCATGATTTTGGTCAAAAAGTTGAAGTTTTTTCATCTTTTGTGTTTATCAAAAATACATCGAGAAAAAGTGTTTGCTGACGTTCTAAATAAAAAAGAATCCTTTAAAGACTATAAAAACAACTGTGTACGAAAAGCGCAAAATTAGAATTTTTTCAAAGGGGTTAGTCCATCGTTTTGGTCAAAAATTTGAGATTTCTTCAACTTTGATTTTTATGAAAAATAGACCAAGAAAAAGTATCTGAGAACGTTCTATTTAGAAAAAAGTTTCTATAATCCTTTGTAACCCTCTGTAATCCCTTGTCACCCCCTTTCACCCCTTGTGACCTCTTGTAACCCTCTGTAACCCCTTGTCACCCCCTGTCACCCCTTGTAACCTCTTGTAACCCCCTGTAACCCCTTGTAACCCGTTGTATCCCCCTGTATTCCCATGTCATAGATGGTGAAAATAAATCGTGAAAAAACGATTTTCGACGTTTTATATAGCAAACAAGGCTTTTTGAACAACAAATACATCGGTTTTAAAAACCCACAAAATTGGCATTTTTGCAAAGGGGTTAGTCCATGGTTTTGGTCAAAAATTTGAAATTTTGTGAACGTTTCGTTTGATGCAAAATACACCCAGAAAAAGTATTTAGTGACGTTCTCGTTTGAAAACAAGCCTTTCTAGACAGTATAAACATGGATCTAAACAGAAGGTAAAATTGGCATTTTTGCAAAGGGGATAGTCCATGATTTTGGTCAAAAAGTTGAAGTTTTTTCATCTTTTGTGTTTATCAAAAATAGATCGAGAAAAAGTGTTTGCTGACGTTCTAAATAAAAAAGAATCCTTTAAAGACTATAAAAACAACTGTGTACGAAAAGCGCAAAATTAGAATTTTTTCAAAGGGGTTAGTCCATCGTTTTGGTCAAAAATTTGAGATTTCTTCAACTTTGATTTTTATGCAAAATAGACCAAGAAAAAGTATCTGAGAACGTTCTATTTAGAAAAAAGTTTCTATAATCCTTTGTAACCCTCTGTAACCCCTTGTCACCCCTGTCACCCCCTTGTAACCTCTTGTAACCCCTGTAACCCCCTTTGTAACCCCTTGTAACCCTTGTAACCCCTTGTAACCCCATGTATTCCCGTGTCATAGATGGTGAAAATAAATCGTGAAAAAACGATTTTCGACGTTTTATATAGGAAACAAGCCTTTTTGAAGAACAAAAACATCGATTTGAAAAACTCACAAAATTAGCATTTTTGCAAAGGGGTTAGTCCATGGTTTTTGTCAAAAATTTGAAATTTTGTGAACGTTTCGTTTGATGCAAAATACATCCAGAAAAAGTATTTGGTGACGTTCTCGTTAGAAAACAAGCCTTTCTAGACAATATAAACATGGATCTAAACAGAAGGCAAAATTGGCATTTTTGCAAAGGGGATAGTCGATGATTTTGGTGAAAAAGTTCAAGTTTTTTCATGTTTGGTGTTTATCAAAAATACATGGGGAAAAAGTGTTTGCTGACGTTCTAAATAAAAAAGAATCCTTTAAAGACTATAAAAACAACTGTTTACGAAAAACGCAAAATTAGAATTTTTTCAAATCGTTTTGGTTAGATTCCATCGTTTTGGTCAAAAATTTGAAAAAGTTTTTCCTCAAATCCCTTTGATTTTTAAGCAAAATAGACCAAGTAAAAAGTATTTGGTGACGTTCTCGTTAGAAAATAAAGTGAAAAAACGATTTTCTAAACAATATAAACATGGATTTGAACAACAAAACATCGGTTTAAAAACCCACAAAAAGCAAAGGGGTTAGTCCATGGTTTTGGTCAAAAATTTGAAATTTTGTGAAATTGGCGTTTTTGCAAAATAAAGAAAAAGGGATAGTCCATGATTTTGGATTTAAAAGAAGGTAAAATTGGCATTTTTGCAAAGGGGATAGTCCATGATTTTGGTCAAAAAGTTGAAGTTTTTCATCTTTTGTGTTTATCAAAAATACATCGAGAAAAAGTGTTTGCTGACGTTCTAAATAAAAAAAAGAATCCTTTAAAGACTATAAAACAACTGTGTACGAAAAACGCAAAATTAGAATTTTTTCAAAGGGGTTAGTCCATCGTTTTGGTCAAAAATTTGAGATTTCTTCAACTTTGATTTTTATGCAAAATAGACCAAGAAAAAGTATCTGAGAACGTTCTATTTAGAAAAAGTTTCTATAATCCTTTGTAACCCTCTGTAACCCCTTGTCACCCCTGTCACCCCTTGTAACCTCTTGTAACCCCTTGTAACCCCTTGTAACCCCTAACCTGTAACCCCTTGTAACCCCCCTGTATTCCCGTGTCATAGATGGTGAAAATAAATCGGAAAAAAAACGATTTTCGACGTTTTATATAGCAAACAAGCCTTTTTGAAGAACAAAAACATGGATTTGAAAAACTCACAAAATTAGCATTTTTGCAAAGGGGTTAGTCCATGGTTTTTGTCAAAAATTTGAAATTTTGTGAACGTTTCGTTTTTTGCCAAATACACCCAGAAAAAGTATTTGGTGACGTTCTCGTTAGAAAACAACCCTTTCTAGACAATATGAATATGGATTTAAAAAGAAGGCAAAATTGGCATTTTTGCAAAGGGGATAGTCCATGATTTTGGTCAAAAAGTTCAAGTTTTTTCATGTTTGGTGTTTATCAAAAATACATGGGGAAAAAGTGTTTGCTGACGTTCTAAATAAAAAAGAATCCTTTAAAGACTATAAAAACAACTGTTTACGAAAAACGCAAAATTAGAATTTTTTCAAAGGGGTTAGTCCATCGTTTTGGTCAAAAATTTGAGATTTCCTCAACTTTGATTTTTAAGCAAAATAGACCAAGAAAAAGTATTTGGTGACGTTCTCGTTAGAAAACAAGCCTTTCTAGACAATATAAACATGGATTTAAAAAGAAGGCAAAATTGGCATTTTTGCAAAGGGGATAGTACACGATTTTTGTCAAAAAGTTCAAGTTTTTTCATGTTTGGTGTTTATCAAAAATACATGGGGAAAAAGTGTTTGCTGAGGTTCTAAATAAAAATAATCCTTTAAAGACTATAAAAACAACTGTTTACGAAAAACGCAAAATTAGAATTTTTTCAAAGGGGTTAGTCCATCGTTTTGGTCAAAAATTTGAGATTTCTTCAAGTTTGATTTTTATGCAAAATAGACCAAGACAAAGTATCTGAGAACGTTCTATTTAGAAAAAAGTTTCTATAATCCTTTGTAACCCTCTGTAATCCCTTGTCACCCCCTTTCACCCCTTGTGACCTCTTGTAACCCTCTGTAACCCCTTGTCACCCCCTGTCACCCCTTGTAACCTCTTGTAACCCCCTGTAACCCCTTGTAACCCCTTGAAACCCGTTGTAACCCCCTGTATTCCCATGTCATAGATGGTGAAAATAAATCGTGAAAAAACGATTTTCGACGTTTTATATAGCAAACAAGGCTTTTTGAACAACAAATACATCGGTTTTAAAAACCCACAAAATTGGCATTTTTGCAAAGGGGTTAGTCCATGGTTTTGGTCAAAAATTTGAAATTTTGTGAACGTTTCGTTTGATGCAAAATACACCCAGAAAAAGTATTTAGTGACGTTCTCGTTTGAAAACAAGCCTTTCTAGACAGTATAAACATGGATCTAAACAGAAGGTAAAATTGGCATTTTTGCAAAGGGGATAGTCCATGATTTTGGTCAAAAAGTTGAAGTTTTTTTTCATCTTTTGTGTTTATCAAAAATACATCGAGAAAAAGTGTTTGCTGACGTAAAATAAAAAAGAATCCTTTAAAGACTATAAAAACAACTGTGTACGAAAAGCGCAAAATTAGAATTTTTTCAAAGGGGTTAGTCCATCGTTTTGGTCAAAAATTTGAGATTTCTTCAACTTTGATTTTTATGCAAAATAGACCAAGAAAAAGTATCTGAGAACGTTCTATTTAGAAAAAAGTTTCTATAATCCTTTGTAACCCTCTGTAACCCCTTGTCACCCCCTGTCACCCCTTGTAACCTCTTGTAACCCCCTGTAACCCCTTGTAACCTCCTGTAACCCCTTGTAACCCCCCGTATTCCCGTGTCATAGATGGTGAAAATAAATCGTGAAAAAACGATTTTCGACGTTTTATATAGCAAACAAGCCTTTTTGAAGAACAAAAACATCGATTTGAAAAACGCACAAAATTAGCATTTTTGCAAAGGGGTTAGTCCATGGTTTTTGTCAAAAATTTGAAATTTTGTGAACGTTTCGTTTTTTGCAAAATACACCCAGAAAAAGTATTTGGTGACGTTCTCGTTAGAAAACAACCCTTTCTAGACAATATGAATATGGATTTAAAAAGAAGGCAAAATTGGTATTTTTGCAAAGGGGATAGTCCATGATTTTGGTCAAAAAGTTGAAGTCTTTTTATCTTTTGTGTTTATGAAAAATAGATGGACAAAAAGTGTTTGCTGACGTTCTAAATAAAAAAGAATCCTTTAAAGACTATAAAAACAACTGTGTACGAAAAACGAAAAATAAGAATTTTTTCAAAGGGGTTAGTCCATCGTTTTGGTCAAAAATTTGAGATTTCTTCAACTTTGATTTTTATGCAAAATAGACCAAGAAAAAGTATCTGAGAACGTTCTATTTAGAAAAAAGTTTCTATAATCCTTTGTAACCCTCTGTAACCCCTTGTCACCCCTTGTAACCTCTTGTAACCTCCTGTAACCCTTGTAACCCCTTTGTAACCTCTTTTTAACCTCCTGTAACCCTTTGTAACCCCCTGTATTCCCATGTCATAGATGGTGAAAATAAATCGTGAAAAAACGATTTTCGACGTTTTATATAGCAAACAAGCCTTTTTGAAGAACAAAAACATCGATTTGAAAAAACTCACAAAATTAGCATTTTTTGCAAAGGGGTTAGTCCATGGTTTTGTCAAAAATTTGAAATTTTGTGAACGTTTCGTTTTTTGCAAAATACACCCAGAAAAAGTATTTGGTGACGTTCTCGTTAGAAAACAACCCTTTCTAGACAATATGAATATGGATTTAAAAAAAAGGCAAAATTGGTATTTTTGCAAAGGGGATAGTCCATGATTTTGGTCAAAAAGTTGAAGTTTTTTTTATCTTTTGTGTTTATGAAAAATAGATCGAGAAAAAAAGTGTTTGCTGACGTTTTAGATAAAAAAAGAAGCCTTTAAAGACTATAAAAACAACTGTGTACGAAAAGCGCAAAATTAGAATTTTTTCAAAGGGGTTAGTCCATCGTTTTGGTCAAAAATTTGAGATTTCTTCAACTTTGATTTTTATGCAAAATAGACCAAGAAAAAGTATCTGAGAACGTTCTATTTAGGAAAAGTTTCTATAATCCTTTGTAACCCTCTGTAACCCCTTGTCACCCCCTGTCACCCGTTGTAACCTCTTGTAACCCCCTGTAACCCCTTGTAACTCCTTGTAACCCCTTGTAACCCCCTGTAACCCTTTGTAACCCCCTGTAATCCCATGTCATAGATGGTGAAAATAAATCGTGAAAAAACGATTTTCGACGTTTTATATAGCAAACAAGCCTTTTTGAACAACAAAAACATCGGTTTCAAAAACCCACAAAATTAGCATTTTTGCAAAGGGGTTAGTCCATGGTTTTGGTGAAAAATTTGAAATTTTGTGAACGTTTCGTTTGATGCAAAATACACCCAAAAAAAGTATTTAGTGACGTTCTCGTTTGAAAACAAGCCTTTCTAGACAGTATAAACATGGATCTAAACAGAAGGTAAAATTGGCATTTTTGCAAAGGGGATAGTCCATGATTTTGGTCAAAAAGTTGAAGTTTTTTCATCTTTTGTGTTTATCAAAAATACATCGAGAAAAAGTGTTTGCTGACGTTCTAAATAAAAAAGAATCCTTTAAAGACTATAAAAACAACTGTGTACGAAAAGCGCAAAATTAGAATTTTTTCAAAGGGGTTAGTCCATCGTTTTGGTCAAAAATTTGAGATTTCTTCAACTTTGATTTTTATGCAAAATAGACCAAGAAAAAGTATTTGGTGACGTTCTCGTTAGAAAACAACCCTTTCTAGACAATATGAATATGGATTTAAAAAGAAGGCAAAATTGGTATTTTTGCAAAGGGGATAGTCCATGATTTTGGTCAAAAAGTTCAAGTTTTTTCATGTTTGGTGTTTATCAAAAATACATGGGGAAAAAGTGTTTGCTGACGTTCTAAATAAAAAAGAATCCTTTAAAGACTATAAAAACAACTGTTTACGAAAAACGCAAAATTAGAATTTTTTCAAAGGGGTTAGTCCATGGTTTTGGTCAAAAATTTGAAATTTTCCTGAACGTTTCGTTTGATGCAAAATAGACCAAGAAAAAGTATTTGGTGACGTTCTCGTTAGAAAACTAGCCTTTCTAGACAATATAAACATGGATTTAAAAAGAAGGCAAAATTGGCATTTTTGCAAAGGGGATATTACATGATTTTTGTCAAAAAGTTCAAGTTTTTTCATGTTTGGTGTTTATCAAAAATACATGGGGAAAAGTGTTTGCTGACGTTCTAAATAAAAAAGAATCCTTTAAAGACTATAAAAACAACTGTTTACGAAAAACGCAAAATTAGAATTTTTTCAAAGGGGTTAGTCCATCGTTTTGGTCAAAAATTTGAGATTTCTTCAACTTTGATTTTTATGCAAAATAGACCAAGACAAAGTATCTGAGAACGTTCTATTTAGAAAAAAGTTTCTATAATCCTTTGTAACCCTCTGTAATCCCTTGTCACCCCCTTTCACCCCTTGTGACCTCTTGTAACCCTGTGTAACCCCTTGTCACCCCCTGTCACCCCTTGTAACCTCTTGTAACCTCTTGTAACCCCCTGTAACCCCTTGTAACCCCTTGTAACCCGTTGTAACCCCCTGTATTCCCATGTCATAGATGGTGAAAATAAATCGTGAAAAAACGATTTTCGACGTTTTATATAGCAAACAAGGCTTTTTGAACAACAAATACATCGGTTTTAAAAACCCACAAAATTGGCATTTTTGCAAAGGGGTTAGTCCATGGTTTTGGTCAAAAATTTGAAATTTTGTGAACGTTTCGTTTGATGCAAAATACACCCAGAAAAAGTATTTAGTGACGTTCTCGTTTGAAAACAATCCTTTCTAGACAGTATAAACATGGATCTAAACAGAAGGTAAAATTGGCATTTTTCCAAAGGGGATAGTCCATGATTTTGGTCAAAAAGTTGAAGTTTTTTCATCTTTTGTGTTTATCAAAAATACATCGAGAAAAAGTGTTTGCTGACGTTCTAAATAAAAAAGAATCCTTTAAAGACTCTAAAAACAACTGTTTACGAAAAGCGCAAAATTAGAATTTTTTCAAAGGGGTTAGTCCATCGTTTTGGTCAAAAATTTGAGATTTCTTCAACTTTGATTTTTATGCAAAATAGACCAAGAAAAAGTATCTGAGAACGTTCTATTTAGAAAAAGTTTCTATAATCCTTTAAAACCCTCTGTAACCCCTTGTCACCCCTGTCACCCCTTGTAACCCTTCTTGTACCCCCCTGTAACCCCTTGTAACCCCTTGTAACCTCCTGTAACCCCTTGTAACCCCTGTATTCCCGTGTCATAGATGGTGAAAATAAATCGAAAAAAAAACGATTTTCGACGTTTTTACGTTTTATATAGCAAACAAGCCTTTTTGAAGAACAAAAACATTGATTTCAAACACCCAAAGATTTAGCATTTTTGCCAAGGGGTTAGTCCATGGTTTTTGTCAAAAATTTGAAATTTTGTGAACGTTTCGTTTTTTGCAAAATACACCCAGAAAAAGTATTTGGTGACGTTCTCGTTAGAAAACAAGCTTTTCTAGACAATATAAATATTGATTTAAAAAGAAGACAAAATTGGCATTTTTGCAAAGGGGATAGTCTATGATTTTGGTCAAAAAGTTGAAGTTTTTTCATCTTTTGTGTTTATCAAAAATACATCGAGAAAAAGTATTTGCTGACGTTTTAAATAAAAAAGAATCCTTTAAAGAGTATAAAAAAACTGTGTAGGAAAAACCCAAGATTAGAATTTTTTTAAAGGGGTTAGTCCATCGTTTTGGTCAAAAATTTGAGATTTTTTCAACTTTTACTTTTGTGCAAAATAGATTAAGAGAAAGTATCTGGGAACGTTCTAGTTAGAAAAAAGTTTGTATAATTCTTTAAAACCCCCTGTAACCCCTTGTCACCCCCTGTCACCCCTTGTAACCTCTTGTAACCCTTTGTAACCCCTTGTAACCTCTTGTAACCCCTTGTAACCCCTTGTAACCTCCTGTAACCCCTTGTAACCCCCTGTATTCCCATGTCATAGATGGTGAAAATAAATCGTTATAAAAACGATTTTCGACGTTTTATACAGAAAACAAGCCTTTTTGAAGAACCAAAACGTCGATTTGAAAAACCCACAAAATTAGCATTTTTGCAGAGGGGTTAGTCCATGGTTTTTGTCAAAAATTTGAAATTTTGTGAACGTTTCGTTTTTTGCAAAATACACCCAGAAAAAGTATTTGGTGACGTTCTCGTTAGAAAACAACCCTTTCTAGACAATATAAATATGGATTTAAAAAGAAGGCAAAATTGGCATTTTTGCAAAGGGGATAGTCCATGATTTTGGTCAAAAAGTTGAAGTTTTTTCATCTTTTGTGTTTATCAAAAATACATCGAGAAAAAGTGTTTGCTGACGTTCTAAATAAAAAAGAATCCTTTAAAGACTATAAAAACAACTGTGTACGAAAAGCGCAAAATTAGAATTTTTTCAAAGGGGTTAGTCCATCGTTTTGGTCAAAAATTTGAGATTTCTTCAACTTTGATTTTTATGCAAAATAGACCAAGAAAAAGTATCTGAGAACGTTCTATTTAGAAAAAAGTTTCTATAATCCTTTGTAACCCTCTGTAACCCCTTGTCACCCCCTGTCACCCGTTGTAACCTCTTGTAACCCCTTGTAACCCCTTGTAACCTCCTGTAACCCCTTGTAACCCCTTGTAATCCCTTGTAACCCCTTGTAACTCCCTGTATTCCCATGTCATAGATGGTGAAAATAAATCGTGAAAAAACGATTTTCGACGTTTTATATAGCAAACAAGGCTTTTTGAACAACAAATACATCGGTTTTAAAAACCCACAAAATTGGCATTTTTGCAAAGGGGTTAGTCCATGGTTTTGGTCAAAAATTTGAAATTTTGTGAACGTTTCGTTTGATGCAAAATACACCCAGAAAAAGTATTTAGTGACGTTCTCGTTTGAAAACAAGCCTTTCTAGACAGTATAAACATGGATCTAAACAGAAGGTAAAATTGGCATTTTTGCAAAGGGGATAGTCCATGATTTTGGTCAAAAAGTTGGAGTTTTTTCATCTTTTGTGTTTATCAAAAATACATCGAGAAAAAGTGTTTGCTGACGTTCTAAATAAAAAAGAATCCTTTAAAGACTATAAAAACAACTGTGTACGAAAAACGCAAAATTAGAATTTTTTCAAAGGGGTTAGTCCATCGTTTTGGTCAAAAATTTGAGATTTCTTCAACTTTGATTTTTATGCAAAATAGACCAAGAAAAAGTATCTGAGAACGTTCTATTTAGAAAAAAGTTTCTATAATCCTTTGTAACCCCCTGTAACCCCTTGACACCCCCTGTCACCCGTTGTAACCTCTTGTAACCCCCTGTAACCCCTTGTAACCCCTTGTAACCTCCTGTAACCCCTTGTAACCCCCTGTATTCCCATGTCATAGATGGTGAAAATAAATCGGAAAAAAAAACGATTTTCGACGTTTTTTATAGCAAACAAGCCTTTTTGAAGAACAAAAACATTGATTTCAAACACCCAAAGATTTAGCATTTTTGTTAAGGGGTTAGTCCATGGTTTTTGTCAAAAATTTGAAATTTTGTGAACGTTTCGTTTTTTGCAAAATACACCCAGAAAAAGTATTTGGTGACGTTCTCGTTAGAAAACAAGCTTTTCTAGACAATATAAATATTGATTTAAAAAGAAGACAAAATTGGCATTTTTGCAAAGGGGATAGTCCATGATTTCGGTCAAAAAGTTGAAGTTTTTTCATCTTTTGTGTTTATCAAAAATACATCGAGAAAAAGTGTTTGCTGACGTTCTAAATAAAAAAGAATCCTTTAAAGACTATAAAAACAACTGTGTACGAAAAACGCAAAATTAGACGTTTTCCAAAGGGGTTAGTCCATCGTTTTGGTCAAAAATTTGAGATTTCTTCAAGTTTGATTTTTTTCAAAATAGACCAAGAAAAAGTATCTGACAACGTTCTAGTTAGAAAAAAGTTTCTATAATCCTTTGTAACCCCTGTAACCCCTTGTCACCCCTGTCACCCCTTGTTGTAACCTCTTGTAACCCCTGTAACCCCTTGTAACCCCTTGTAACCCCTTGTAACCCCCTGTAACCCTTTGTAACCCCCCTGTAATCCCATGTCATAGATGGTGAAAATAAATCGTGAAAAAAACGATTTTCGACGTTTTATATAGCAAACAAGCCTTTTTGAACAACAAATACATCGGTTTTAAAAACCCACAAAATTGGCATTTTTGCAAAGGGGTTAGTCCATGGTTTTGGTCAAAAGTTGGAAATTTTGTGAACGTTTCGTTTGATGCAAAATACACCCAGAAAAAGTATTTGGTGACGTTCTCGTTAGAAAACAAGCCTTTCTAGACAATATAAACATGGATTTAAAAAGAAGGCAAAATTGGCATTTTTGCAAAGGGGATAGTACATGATTTTTGTCAAAAAGTTGAAGTTTTTTCATGTTTTGTGTTTATCAAAAATACATCGAGAAAAAGTGTTTGCTGACGTTCTAAATAAAAAAGAATCCTTTAAAGACTATAAAAACAACTGTGTACGAAAAGCGCAAAATTAGAATTTTTTCAAAGGGGTTAGTCCATCGTTTTGGTCAAAAATTTGAGATTTCTTCAACTTTGATTTTTATGCAAAATAGACCAAGAAAAAGTATCTGAGAACGTTCTATTTAGGAAAAGTTTCTATAATCCTTTAACCCTCTGTAACAATATGAATATGATTCACCCCCTTGTAACCCTATTGTAACCTCTTGTAACCCCCTGTAACCCTCCATAATTTTAACCCCTTAACCCCTTGTGTTAACCCCTTTTTTTCCCCCTGTTCCCATGTCATAGATGATGGTGAAAATAAATGGAAAAAAAAACGATTTTCGACGTTTTATATAAAAACAAGCCTTTTTGAACAACAAAAACATCGTTTACAAAAACCCACAAAATTAGCATTTTTGCAAAGGGGTTAGTCCATGGTTTTGGTCAAAAATTTGAAATTTTGTGAACGTTTCGTTTGATGCAAAATACACCCAGAAAAAGTATTTGGTGACGTTCTCGTTAGAAAACAAGCCTTTCTAGACAATATAAACATGGATTTAAAAAGAAGGCAAAATTGGCATTTTTTGCAAAGGGGATAGTCCATGATTTTTGGTCAAAAAGTTGAAGTTTTTTCATCTTTTGTGTTTATCAAAAATACATCGAGAAAAAGTGTTTGCTGACGTTCTAAATAAAAAAGAATCCTTTAAAGACTCTAAAAACAACTGTTTACGAAAAGCGCAAAATTAGAATTTTTTCAAAGGGGTTAGTCCATCGTTTTGGTCAAAAATTTGAGATTTCTTCAACTTTGATTTTTATGCAAAATAGACCAAGAAAAAGTATCTGAGAACGTTCTATTTAGAAAAAAAAAAAAGTTTCTATAATCCTTTGTAACCCTCTGTAACCCCTTGTCACCCCTGTCACCCCTTGTAACCCCTTGTAACCCCTTAACCCCTTGTAACCCCTTGTAACCCCTTGTAACCTAACCCCTTGTAACCCCTTGTAACCCCTGTATTCCCATGTCATAGATGGTGAAAATAAATCGAAAAAAAAACGATTTTCGACGTTTTATATAGCAAACAAAGCTTTTTGAAGAACAAAAACATGGATTTGAAAAACTCACAAAATTAGCATTTTTGCAAAGGGGTTAGTCCATGGTTTTTGTCAAAAATTTGAAATTTTGTGAACGTTTCGTTTTTTGCAAAATACACCCAGAAAAAGTATTTGGTGACGTTCTCGTTAGAAAACAACCCTTTCTAGACAATATGAATATGGATTTAAAAAGAAGGCAAAATTGGTATTTTTGCAAAGGGATAGTCCATGATTTTGGTCAAAAAGTTCAGTTTTTTTTCATGTTTGGTGTTTATCAAAAATACATGGGGAAAAAGTGTTTGCTGACGTTCTAAAAAAAAAGAATCCTTTAAAGACTATAAAAACAACTGTTTACGAAAAACGCAAAATTAGAATTTTTTCAAAGGGGTTAGTCCATCGTTTTGGTCAAAAATTTGAGATTTCCTCAACTTTGATTTTTAAGCAAAATAGACCAAGAAAAAGTATTTGGTGACGTTCTCGTTAGAAAACAAGCCTTTCTAGACAACATAAACATGGATTTAAAAAGAAGGCAAAATTGGCATTTTTGCAAAGGGGATAGTACATGATTTTTGTCAAAAAGTTCAAGTTTTTTCATGTTTGGTGTTTATCAAAAATACATGGGGAAAAAGTGTTTGCTGACGTTCTAAATAAAAAAGAATCCTTTAAAGACTATAAAAACAACTGTTTACGAAAAACGCAAAATTAGAATTTTTTCAAAGGGGTTAGTCCATCGTTTTGGTCAAAAATTTGAGATTTCTTCAACTTTGATTTTTATGCAAAATAGACCAAGACAAAGTATCTGAGAACGTTCTATTTAGAAAAAAGTTTCTATAATCCTTTGTAACCCTCTGTAATCCCTTGTCACCCCCTTTCACCCCTTGTGACCTCTTGTAACCCTGTGTAACCCCTTGTCACCCCCTGTCACCCCTTGTAACCTCTTGTAACCCCCTGTAACCCCTTGTAACCCCTTGTAACCCGTTGTAACCCCCTGTATTCCCATGTCATAGATGGTGAAAATAAATTGTGAAAAAACGATTTTCGACGTTTTATATAGCAAACAAGGCTTTTTGAACAACAAATACATCGGTTTTAAAAACCCACAAAATTGGCATTTTTGCAAAGGGGTTAGTCCATGGTTTTGGTCAAAAATTTGAAATTTTGTGAACGTTTCGTTTGATGCAAAATACACCCAGAAAAAGTATTTAGTGACGTTCTCGTTTGAAAACAAGCCTTTCTAGACAGTATAAACATGGATCTAAACAGAAGGTAAAATTGGCATTTTTGCAAAGGGGATAGTCCATGATTTTGGTCAAAAAGTTGAAGTTTTTTCATCTTTTGTGTTTATCAAAAATACATCGAGAAAAAGTGTTTGCTGACGTTCTAAATAAAAAAGAATCCTTTAAAGACTATAAAAACAACTGTTTACGAAAAACGCAAAATTAGAATTTTTTCAAAGGGGTTAGTCCATCGTTTTGGTCAAAAATTTGAGATTTCTTCAACTTTGATTTTTATGCAAAATAGACCAAGAAAAAGTATCTGAGAACGTTCTATTTAGAAAAAAGTTTCTATAATCCTTTGTAACCCTCTGTAACCCCTTGTCACCCCCTGTCACCCCTTGTCACGTCTTGTAGCCCCCTGTAACCCCTTGTAACCTCTTGTAACCCCCTGTAACCCCTTGTAACCCCTTGTAACCTCCTGTAACCCCTTGTAACCCCCCGTATTCCCGTGTCATAGATGGTGAAAATAAATCGTGAAAAAACGATTTTCGACGTTTTATATAGCAAACAAGCCTTTTTGAAGAACAAAAACATCGATTTGAAAAACTCACAAAATTAGCATTTTTGCAAAGGGGTTAGTCCATGGTTTTTGTCAAAAATTTGAAATTTTGTGAACGTTTCGTTTTTTGCAAAATACACCCAGAAAAAGTATTTGGTGACGTTCTCGTTAGAAAACAACCCTTTCTAGACAATATGAATATGGATTTAAAAAGAAGGCAAAATTGGTATTTTTGCAAAGGGGATAGTCCATGATTTTGGTCAAAAAGTTGAAGTCTTTTTATCTTTTGTGTTTATGAAAAATAGATCGACAAAAAGTGTTTGCTGACGTTCTAAATAAAAAAGAATCCTTTAAAGACTATAAAAACAACTGTGTACGAAAAACGCAAAATAAGAATTTTTTCAAAGGGGTTAGTCCATCGTTTTGGTCAAAAATTTGAGATTTCTTCAACTTTGATTTTTATGCAAAATAGACCAAGAAAAAGTATCTGAGAACGTTCTATTTAGAAAAAAGTTTCTATAATCCTTTGTAACCCTCTGTAACCCCTTGTCACCCCTTGTAACCTCTTGTAACCTCCTGTAACCCCTTGTAACCTCTTTTAACCTCCTGTAACCCCTTGTAACCGCCCGTATTCCCATGTAATAGATGGTGAAAATAAATCGTGAAAAAACGATTTTCGACGTTTTATATAGCAAACAAGCCTTTTTGAAGAACAAAAACATCGATTTGAAAAACTCACAAAATTAGCACTTTTGCAAAGGGGTTAGTCCATGGTTTTTGTCAAAAATTTGAAATTTTGTGAACGTTTCGTTTTTTGCAAAATACACCCAGAAAAAGTATTTGGTGACGTTCTCGTTAGAAAACAACCCTTTCTAGACAATATGAATATGGATTTAAAAAAAAGGCAAAATTGGTATTTTTGCAAAGGGGATAGTCCATGATTTTGGTGAAAAAGTTGAAGTCTTTTTATCTTTTGTGTTTATGAAAAATAGATCGACAAAAAGTGTTTGCTAAGGTTTTAGATAAAAAAGAAGCCTTCAAGGACTATAAAAACAACTGTGTAGGAAAAACGCAAAATTAGAATTTTTTGAAAGGGGTTAGTACATCGTTTTGGTCATAAATTTGAGATTTCTTCAACTTTGATTTTTATGCAAAATAGACCAAGAAAAAGTATCTGAGAACGTTCTGTTTTAGAAAAAAGTTTCTATAATTCTTTGTAACCCTCTGTAACCCCTTGTCACCCCCTGTCACCCCTTGTAACCCCCTCTAACCCCTTGTAACCGCCTGTAACCCTTTTTAATCCCCTGTATTCCCATGTCATAGATGGTGAAAATAAATCGTGAAAAAACGATTTTCGACGTTTTATATAGCAAACAAGCCTTTTTGAACAACAAAAACATCGGTTTCAAAAACCCACAAAATTAGCATTTTTGCAAAGGGGTTAGTCCATGGTTTTGGTCAAAAATTTGAAATTTTGTGAACGTTTCGTTTGATGCAAAATACACCCAGAAAAAGTATTTAGTGACGTTCTCGTTTGAAAACAAGCCTTTCTAGACAGTATAAACATGGATCTAAACAGAAGGTAAAATTGGCATTTTTGCAAAGGGGATAGTCCATGATTTTGGTCAAAAAGTTGAAGTTTTTTCATCTTTTGTGTTTATCAAAAATACATCGAGAAAAAGTGTTTGCTGACGTTCTAAATAAAAAAGAATCCTTTAAAGACTATAAAAACAACTGTGTACGAAAAGCGCAAAATTAGAATTTTTTCAAAGGGGTTAGTCCATCGTTTTGGTCAAAAATTTGAGATTTCTTCAACTTTGATTTTTATGCAAAATAGACCAAGAAAAAGTATCTGAGAACGTTCTATTTAGAAAAAAGTTTCTATAATCCTTTGTAACCCTCTGTAACCCCTTGTCACCCCCTGTCACCCCTTGTAACCTCTGTAACCCCCTGTAACCCCTTGTAACCCCTTGTAACCTCCTGTAACCCCTTGTAACCCCCCGTATTCCCGTGTCATAGATGGTGAAAATAAATCGTGAAAAAACGATTTTCGACGTTTTATATAGCAAACAAGCCTTTTTGAAGAACAAAAACATCGATTTGAAAAACTCACAAAATTAGCATTTTTGCAAAGGGGTTAGTCCATGGTTTTTGTCAAAAATTTGAAATTTTGTGAACGTTTCGTTTTTTGCAAAATACACCCAGAAAAAGTATTTGGTGACGTTCTCGTTAGAAAACAACCCTTTCTAGACAATATGAATATGGATTTAAAAAGAAGGCAAAATTGGTATTTTTGCAAAGGGGATAGTCCATGATTTTGGTCAAAAAGTTCAAGTTTTTTCATGTTTGGTGTTTATCAAAAATACATGGGGAAAAAGTGTTTGCTGACGTTCTAAATAAAAAAGAATCCTTTAAAGACTATAAAAACAACTGTTTACGAAAAACGCAAAATTAGAATTTTTTCAAAGGGGTTAGTCCATCGTTTTGGTCAAAAATTTGAGATTTCCTCAACTTTGATTTTTAAGCAAAATAGACCAAGAAAAAGTATTTGGTGACGTTCTCGTTAGAAAACAAGCCTTTCTAGACAATATAAACATGGATTTAAAAAGAAGGCAAAATTGGCATTTTTGCAAAGGGGATAGTACATGATTTTTGTCAAAAAGTTCAAGTTTTTTGATGTTTGGTGTTTATCAAAAATACATGGGGAAAAAGTGTTTGCTGACGTTCTAAATAAAAAAGAATCCTTTAAAGACTATAAAAACAACTGTGTACGAAAAACGCAAAATAAGAATTTTTTCAAAGGGATTAATCCATCGTTTTGGTGAAAAATTTGAGATTTCTTCAACTTTGATGTTTATGCAAAATAGACCAAGAAAAAGTATCTGGGAACGTTCTATTTAGAAAAAAGTTTCTATAATCCTTTGTAACCCTCTGTAACCCCTTGTCACCCCCTGTCACCCGTTGTGACCTCTTGTAACCCTTGTAACCCCTTGTAACCCCTTGTAACCCCTTGTAACCCCTTGTAACCCCTTGTAACCCCCCCTGTAACCCTGTAACCCGTTGTAACCCCTGTATTCCCATGTCATAGATGGTGAAAATAAATCGTGAAAAAACGATTTTCGACGTTTTATATAGCAAACAAGCTTTTTGAAGAACAAAAACATCGATTTGAAAAACCCACAAAATTAGCATTTTTGCAAAGGGGTTTGTCCATGGTTTTGGTCAAAAATTTGAAATTTTGTGAACGTTTCGTTTTTGCAAAATACACCCAGAAAAAGTATTTGGTGACGTTCTCGTTAGAAAACAACCCTTTCTAGACAATATGAATATGGATTTAAAAAAGAAGGCAAAATTGGTATTTTTGCAAAGGGGATAGTCCATGATTTTGGTCAAAAAGTTCAAGTTTTTTCATGTTTGGTGTTTATCAAAAATACATGGAAAAAAAGTGTTTGCTGACGTTCTAAATAAAAAAAAAGAATCCTTTAAAGACTATAAAAACAACTGTTTACGAAAAACGCAAAATTAGAATTTTTTCAAAGGGGTTAGTCCATCGTTTTGGTCAAAAATTTGAGATTTCCTCAACTTTGAAAGCAAATTAGACCAAGAAAAAATTTGGTGACGTTCTCGTTAGAAAACAAGCCTTTTTATAAACATGGATTTAAAAAGAAGGCAAAATTGGCATTTTTGCAAAGGGGATAGTCAAAAAGTTCAAGTTTTTTGATGTTTGGTGTTTATCAAAAATACATGGGGAAAAAGTGTTTGCTGACGTTCTAAATAAAAAAGAATCCTTTAAAGACTATAAAAACAACTGTGTACGAAAAACGCAAAATAAGAATTTTTTCAAAGGGATTAATCCATCGTTTTGGTGAAAAATTTGAGATTTCTTCAACTTTGATGTTTATGCAAAATAGACCAAGAAAAAGTATCTGGGAACGTTCTATTTAGAAAAAAGTTTCTATAATCCTTTGTAACCCTCTGTAACCCCTTGTCACCCCCTGTCACCCGTTGTAACCTCTTGTAACCCCCTGTAACCCCCCTTGTAACCCCTTATAACCCCTGTAACCCTTGTAACCCCTGTATTCCCATGTCATAGATGGTGAAAATAAATCGTGAAAAAACGATTTTCGACGTTTTATATAGCAAACAAGCCTTTTTTGAAGAACAAAAACATCGATTTGAAAAACTCACAAAATTAGCATTTTTGCAAAGGGGTTAGTCCATGGTTTTTGTCAAAAATTTGAAATTTTGTGAACGTTTCGTTTTTTGCAAAAATACACCCAGAAAAAGTATTTGGTGACGTTCTCGTTAGAAAACAACCCTTTCTAGACAATATGAATATGGATTTAAAAAGAAGGCAAAATTGGTATTTTTGCAAAGGGGATAGTCCATGATTTTGGTCAAAAAAGTTCAAGTTTTTTCATGTTTGGTGTTTATCAAAAATACATGGGGAAAAAGTGTTTGCTGACGTTCTAAAAAAAAGAATCCTTTAAAGACTATAAAAACAACTGTTTACGAAAAACGCAAAATTAGAATTTTTTCAAAGGGGTTAGTCCATCGTTTTGGTCAAAAAATTTGAGATTTCCTCAACTTTGATTTTTAAGCAAATTAGACCAAGAAAAAAGTATTTGGTGACGTTCTCGTTAGAAAACAAGCCTTTCTAGACAATATAAACATGGATTTAAAAAAAGAAGGCAAAATTGGCATTTTTGCAAAGGGGATAGTACATGATTTTTGTCAAAAAGTTCAAGTTTTTTGATGTTTGGTGTTTATCAAAAATACATGGGGAAAAAGTGTTTGCTGACGTTCTAAATAAAAAAAAAATCCTTTAAAGACTATAAAAACAACTGTGTACGAAAAACGCAAAATAAGAATTTTTTCAAAGGGATTAGTCCATCGTTTTGGTGAAAAATTTGAGATTTCTTCAACTTTGATTTTTATGCAAAATAGACCAAGAAAAAGTATCTGGGAACGTTCTATTTAGAAAAAAGTTTCTATAATCCTTTGTAACCCTCTGTAACCCCTTGTCACCCCCTGTCACCCGTTGTAACCTCTTGTAACCCCCTGTAACTGTAATTCCTTGTAACCCCTTATAACCCCCTGTAACCCTTGGTAACCCCCTGTAATCCCATGTCATAGATGGTGAAAATAAATCGTGAAAAAACGATTTTCGGCGTTTTATATAGCAAACAAGCCTTTTTGAAGAACAAAAACATCGATTTGAAAAACTCACAAAATTAGCACTTTTGCAAAGGGGTTTGTCCATGGTTTTTGTCAAAAATTTGAAATTTTGTGAACGTTTCGTTTTTTGCCAAATACACCCAGAAAAAGTATTTGGTGACGTTCTCGTTAGAAAACAACCCTTTCTAGACAATATGAATATGGATTTAAAAAGAAGGCAAAATTGGTATTTTTGCAAAGGGGATAGTCCATGATTTTGGTCAAAAAGTTGAAGTCTTTTTATCTTTTGTGTTTATGAAAAAAAGATCGACAAAAAGTGTTTGCTGACGTTTTAGATAAAAAAGAAGCCTTCAAGGACTATAAAAACAACTGTGTACGAAAAACGCAAAATTAGAATTTTTTCAAAGGGGTTAGTCCATCGTTTTGGTCAAAAATTTGAGATTTCTTCAACTTTGATTTTTATGCAAAATAGACCAAGAAAAAGTATCTGAGAACGTTCTATTTAGAAAAAAGTTTCTATAATCCTTTGTAACCCTCTGTAACCCCTTGTCACCCCCTGTCACCCGTTGTAACCTCTTGTAACCCCCTGTAACCCCTTGTAACTCCTTGTAACCCCTTGTAACCCCCTGTAACCCTTTGTAACCCCCTGTAATCCCATGTCATAGATGGTGAAAATAAATCGTGAAAAAACGATTTTCGACGTTTTATATAGCAAACAAGCCTTTTTGAACAACAAAAACATCGGTTTCAAAAACCCACAAAATTAGCATTTTTGCAAAGGGCTTAGTCCATGGTTTTGGTCAAAAATTTGAAATGTTGTGAACGTTTCGTTTGATGCAAAATACACCCAAAAAAAGTATTTAGTGACGTTCTCGTTAGAAAACAAGCCTTTCTAGACAGTATAAACATGGATTTAAAAAGAAGGCAAAATTGGCATTTTTGCAAAGGGGATAGTCCATGATTTTGGTCAAAAAGTTGAAGTTTTTTCATCTTTTGTGTTTATCAAAAATACATCGAAAAAAAGTGTTTGCTGACGTTCTAAATAAAAAAGAATCCTTTAAAGACTATAAAAACAACTGTGTACGAAAAGCGCAAAATAAGAATTTTTTCAAAGGGGTTAGTCCATCGTTTTGGTCAAAAATTTGAGATTTCTTCAACTTTGATTTTTATGCAAAATAGATAAAGACAAAGTATCTGAGAACGTTCTATTTAGAAAAAAGTTTCTATAATCCTTTGTAACCCTCTGTAATCCCTTGTCACCCCCTTTCACTCCTTGTGACCTCTTGTAACCCTGTGTAACCCCTTGTCACCCCCTGTCACCCCTTGTAACCCTTGTAACCCCTTTGTAACCCCCTTTAACCCCTTTGTAACCCCTTTGTAACCCCCCTTTGTAACCCCTGTATTCCCATGTCATAGATGGTGAAAATAAATCGTGAAAAAACGATTTTCGACGTTTTATATAGCAAACAAGGCTTTTTGAACAACAAATACATCGGTTTTAAAAACCCACAAAATTGGCATTTTTGCAAAGGGGTTAGTCCATGGTTTTGGTCAAAAATTTGAAATTTTGTGAACGTTTCGTTTGATGCAAAATACACCCAGAAAAAGTATTTAGTGACGTTCTCGTTTGAAAACAAGCCTTTCTAGACAGTATAAACTTGGATCTAAACAGAAGGTAAAATTGGCATTTTTGCAAAGGGGATAGTCCATGATTTTGGTCAAAAAGTTGAAGTTTTTTCATCTTTTGTGTTTATGAAAAATAGATCGACAAAAAGTGTTTGCTGACGTTCTAAATAAAAAAGAATCCTTTAAAGACTATAAAAACAACTGTGTACGAAAAACGCAAAATAAGAATTTTTTCAAAGGGGTTAGTCCATCGTTTTGGTCAAAAATTTGAGATTTCTTCAACTTTGATTTTTATGCAAAATAGACCAAGAAAAAGTATCTGGGAACGTTCTATTTAGAAAAAAGTTTCTATAATCCTTTGTAACCCTCTGTAACCCCTTGTCACCCCCTGTCACCCCTTGTAACCTCTTGTAACCTCCTGTAACCCCTTGTAACCCCCCGTATTCCCATGTAATAGATGGTGAAAATAAATCGTGAAAAAACGATTTTCGACGTTTTATATAGCAAACAAGCCTTTTTGAAGAACAAAAACATCGATTTGAAAAACTCACAAAATTAGCACTTTTGCAAAGGGGTTTGTCCATGGTTTTTGTCAAAAATTTGAAATTTTGTGAACGTTTCGTTTTTTGCCAAATACACCCAGAAAAAGTATTTGGTGACGTTCTCGTTAGAAAACAACCCTTTCTAGACAATATGAATATGGATTTAAAAAGAAGGCAAAATTGGTATTTTTGCAAAGGGGATAGTCCATGATTTTGGTCAAAAAGTTGAAGTCTTTTTATCTTTTGTGTTTATGAAAAATAGATGGACAAAAAGTGTTTGCTAAGGTTTTAGATAAAAAAGAAGCCTTCAAGGACTATAAAAAGAACTGTGTACGAAAAACGCAAAGTTAGAATTTTTTCAAAGGGATTAGTCCATCGTTTTGGTCAAAAATTTGAGATTTTTTCAACTTTGATTTTTATGCAAAATAGACCAAGAAAAAGTATCTGAGAACGTTCTATTTAGACAAAAGTTTCTATAATCCTTTGTAACCCTCTGTAACCCCTTGTCACCCCCTGTCACCCCTTGTAACCTCTTGTAACCTCCTGTAACCCCTTGTAACCCCTTTTAACCCCTTGTAACCGCCTGTAACCCTTTGTAACCCCCTGTATTCCCATGTCATAGATGGTGAAAATAAATAGTGAAAAAACGATTTTGGATATTTTACATAGCAAACAAGCCTTTTTGAACAATAAAAACATCGGTTTCAAAAACCCACAAAATTGGCATTTTTGCAAAGGGGTTAGTCCATGGTTTTGGTCAAAAATTTGAAATTTTGTGAACGTCTCGTTTGATGCAAAATACACCCAGAAAAAGCATTTGGTGACGTTCTCGTTAGAAAACAAGCGTTTCTAGACAAAATAAACATGGATCTAAACAGAAGGCAAAATTGGCATTTTTGCAAAGGGGATAGTCCATGATTTTGGTCAAAAAGTTGAAGTTTTTTCATCTTTTGTGTTTATCAAAAATACATCGAGAAAAAGTGTTTGCTGACGTTCTAAATAAAAAAGAATCCTTTAAAGACTATAAAAACAACTGTGTACGAAAAACGCAAAATAAGAATTTTTTCAAAGGGGTTAGTCCATCGTTTTGGTCAAAAATTTGAGATTTCTTCAACTTTGATTTTTATGCAAAATAGACCAAGAAAAAGTATCTGGGAACGTTCTATTTAGAAAAAAGTTTCTATAATCCTTTGTAACCCTCTGTAACCCCTTGTCACCCCCTGTCACCCCTTGTAACCTCTTGTAACCTCCTGTAACCCCTTGGAACCCCCCGTATTCCCATGTAATAGATGGTGAAAATAAATCGTGAAAAAACGATTTTCGACGTTTTATATAGCAAACAAGCCTTTTTGAAGAACAAAAACATCGATTTGAAAAACTCACAAAATTAGCACTTTTGCAAAGGGGTTTGTCCATGGTTTTTGTCAAAAATTTGAAATTTTGTGAACGTTTCGTTTTTTGCCAAATACACCCAGAAAACGTATTTGGTGACGTTCTCGTTAGAAAACAACCCTTTCTAGACAATATGAATATGGATTTAAAAAGAAGGCAAAATTGGTATTTTTGCAAAGGGGATAGTCCATGATTTTGGTCAAAAAGTTGAAGTCTTTTTATCTTTTGTGTTTATGAAAAATAGATCGACAAAAAGTGTTTGCTAAGGTTTTAGATAAAAAAGAAGCCTTCAAGGACTATAAAAACAACTGTGTACGAAAAACGCAAAATTAGAATTTTTTCAAAGGGGTTAGTCCATCGTTTTGGTCAAAAATTTGAGATTTCTTCAACTTTGATTTTTATGCAAAATAGACCAAGAAAAAGTATCTGAGAACGTTCTATTTAGAAAAAAGTTTCTATAATCCTTTGTAACCCTCTGTAACCCCTTGTCACCCCCTGTCACCCGTTGTAACCTCTTGTAACCCCCTGTAACCCCTTGTAACTCCTTGTAACCCCTTGTAACCCCCTGTAACCCTTTGTAACCCCCTGTAATCCCATGTCATAGATGGTGAAAATAAATCGTGAAAAAACGATTTTCGACGTTTTATATAGCAAACAAGCCTTTTTGAACAACAAAAACATCGGTTTCAAAAACCCACAAAATTAGCATTTTTGCAAAGGGGTTAGTCCATGGTTTTGGTCAAAAATTTGAAATTTTGTGAACGTTTCCTTTGATGCAAAATACACCCGGAAAAAGTATTTGGTGACGTTCTCGCTAGAAAACAAGCCTTTCTAGACAATATAAACCTGGATCTAAACAGAAGTCAAAATTGGCATTTTTGCAAAGGGGATAGTCCATGATTTTGGTCAAAAAGTTGAAGTTTTTTCATCTTTTGTGTTTGTCAAAAATACATCGAGAAAAAGTGTTTGTTGACGTTCTAGATAAAAAAGAAGCCTTCAAAGACTATAAAAACAACTGTGTACGAAAAACGAAAAATAAGAATTTTTTCAAAGGGGTTAGTCCATCGTTTTGGTCAAAAATTTGAGATTTCTTCAAGTTTGATTTTTGTGCAAAATAGATTAAGAGAAAGTATCTGGGAATGTTCTAGTTAGAAAAAAGTTTGTATAATTCTTTGAAACCCCCCGTAACCCCTTGTCACCCCCTGTCACCCCTTGTAACCTCTTGTAACCCCCTGTAACCCCTTGTAACCCCTTGTAACCGCTTGTAACCCCCTGTAACTCTTTGTAACCCCCTGTATTCCCATGTCATAGATGGTGAAAATAAATCGTGAAAAAACGATTTTCTACGTTTTATATAGGAAACAAGCCTTTTTGAACAACAAAAACATCGGTTGCAAAAACCCACAAAATTGGCATTTTTGCAAAGGGGTTAGTCCATGGTTTTGGTCAAAAATTTGAAATTTTGTGAACGTTTCGTTTGATGCAAAATACACCCAGAAAAAGTATTGGGTGACGTTCTGGTTAGAAAACAAGCCTTTCTTGACAATATAAACATGGATTTAAAAACAAGGCAAAATTGGCATTTTTGCAAAGGGGATAGTCCATGATTTTGGTCAAAAAGTTGAAGTTTTTTCATCTTTTGTGTTTATCAAAAATAGATCGAGAAAAAGTGTTTGCTCACGTTCTAAAATGAAAAACAATCATTTAAAGAGTATAAAAACAACTGTGTACAAAAAACGAAAATTAGAATTTTTTCAAAGGGGTTAGTCCATCGTTTTGGTCAAAAATTTGAGATTTCTTCAACTTTGATTTTTATGAAAAATAGACCAAGAAAAAGTATCTGAGAACGTTCTATTTAGAAAAAAGTTTCTATAATCCTTTGTAACCCTCTGTAACCCCTTGTCACCCATTGTGACCTCTTGTAACCTCTTGTAACCGCCTGTAACCCCTTTTAACCCCTTGTAACCTCCTGTAACCCCTTGTCACCCCCTGTCACCTCTTGTAACCTCTTGTAACCCCCTGTAACCCCTTGTAACCCCTTGTAACCCCCTGTAACTCTTTGTAACCCCCTGTATTCCCATGTCATAGATAGTGAAAATAAATCGTAAAAAAAAGATATTCGACGTTTTATATAGCAGACAAGTCTTTTTGAAGAACAAAAACATCGCTTTTAGAAACCCACAAAATTGGCATTTTTGCAAAGGGGTTAGTCCATGGTTTTGGTCAAAAATTTGAAATTTTGTGAACGTTTCGTTTGATGCAAAATACACCCAGAAAAAGTATTTGGTGACGTTCTCGTTAGAAAACAAGGCTTTCTAGACAATATAAACATGGATTTAAAAAGAAGGCAAAATTGGCATTTTTGCAAAGGGGATAGTCCATGATTTTGGTCAAAAAGTTGAAGTCTTTTTATCTTTTGTGTTTATGAAAAATAGATCGACAAAAAGTGTTTGCTGACGTTCTAAATAAAAAAGAATCCTTTAAAGACTATAAAAACAACTGTGTACGAAAAACGCAAAATAAGAATTTTTTCAAAGGGGTTAGTCCATCGTTTTGGTCAAAAATTTGAGATTTCTTCAACTTTGATTTTTATGCAAAATAGACCAAGAAAAAGTATCTGGGAACGTTCTATTTAGAAAAAAGTTTCTATAATCCTTTGTAACCCTCTGTAACCCCTTGTCACCCCCTGTCACCCCTTGTAACCTCTTGTAACCTCCTGTAACCCCTTGTAACCTCTTTTAACCTCCTGTAACCCCTTGTAACCCCCCGTATTCCCATGTAATAGATGGTGAAAATAAATCGTGAAAAAACGATTTTCGACGTTTTATATAGCAAACAAGCCTTTTTGAAGAACAAAAACATCGATTTGAAAAACTCACAAAATTAGCACTTTTGCAAAGGGGTTTGTCCATGGTTTTGTCAAAAATTTGAAATTTTGTGAACGTTTCGTTTTTTGCCAAATACACCCAGAAAAAGTATTTGGTGACGTTCTCGTTAGAAAACAACCCTTTCTAGACAATATGAATATGGATTTAAAAAGAAGGCAAAATTGGTATTTTTGCAAAGGGGATAGTCCATGATTTTGGTCAAAAAGTTGAAGTCTTTTTATCTTTTGTGTTTATGAAAAATAGATCGACAAAAAGTGTTTGCTAAGGTTTTAGATAAAAAAGAAGCCTTCAAGGACTATAAAAACAACTGTGTACGAAAAACGCAAAATTAGAATTTTTTCAAAGGGGTTAGTCCATCGTTTTGGTCAAAAATTTGAGATTTCTTCAACTTTGATTTTTATGCAAAATAGACCAAGAAAAAGTATCTGAGAACGTTCTATTTAGGAAAGAGTTTCTATAATCCTTTGTAACCCTCTGTAACCCCTTGTCACCGCCTGTCACCCGTTGTAACCTCTTTTAACCCCCTGTAACCCCTTGTAACCCCTTGTAATCTCCTGTAACCCCTTGCAACCCCCCGTATTCCCATGTCATAGATGGTGAAAATAAATCGTGAAAACACGATTTTCGACGTTTTATATAGCAAACAAGCCTTTTTGAACAACAAATACATTGGTTTTAAAAACCCACAAAATTGGCATTTTTGCAAAGGGGTTAGTCCATGGTTTTGGTCAAAAATTTGAAATTTCTTCAACTTCAATTTTTGTGCAAAATAGATTAAGAGATAGTATCTGGGAACGTTCTAGTTAGAAAAAAGTTTGTATAATTCTTTGAAACCCCCTGTAACCCCTTGTCACCCCCTGTCACCCCTTGTAACGTCTTGTACTCCCCTGTAACCCCTTGTAACCCCTTGAAACCCCTTGTAACCTCCTGTAACCCCTTGTAACCCCCTGTATTCCCATATCATAGATGGTGAAAATAAATCGTGAAAAAACGATTTTCGACGTTTTATATAGCAAACAAGCCTTTTTGAAGAACAAAAACATTGATTTGAAACACCCACAAAATTAGCATTTTTTCCAAGGGGTTAGTCCATGCTTTTTGTCAAAAATTTGAAATTTTGTGAACGTTTCGTTTTTTGCAAAATACACCCAGGAAAAGTATTTCGTGACGTTCTCGCTAGAAAACAAGTTTCTCTAGAGAATATAAATATTGAGTTAAAAAGAAGGCAAAATTGGCATTTTTGCAAAGGGGATAGTCCATGATTTTGGTCAAAAAGTTGAAGTTTTTTCATCTTTTGTGTTTATCAAAAATACATCGAGAAAAAGTGTTTGCTGACGTTCTAAATAAAAAAGAAACCTTTAAAGACTATAAAAACAACTGTTTACGAAAAACGCAAAATAAGAATTTTTTCAAAGGGGTTAGTCCATCGTTTTGGTCAAAAATTTGAGATTTCTTCAACTTCGATTTTTATGCAAAATAGACCAAGAAAAAGTATCTGAGAACGTTCTATTTAGAAAAAAGTTTCTATAATCCTTTGTAACCCTCTGTAACCCCTTGTCACCCCCTGTCACCCCTTGTAACCTCTTGTAACCCCCTGTAACCTCTTGTAACCCCTTGTAACCCCTTGTAACCTCCTATTTTTGCAAAGGGGATAGTCCATGATTTTGGTCAAAAAGTTGAAGTCTTTTTATCTTTTGTGTTTATGAAAAATAGATCGACAAAAAGTGTTTGCTGACTTTCTAAATAAAAACGAATCCTTCAAAGACTATAAAAACAACTCTGTACGAAAAACGCAAAATTAGAATTTTTTCAAAGGGGCTAGTCCATCGTTTTGGTCAAAAATTTGAGATTTCTTCAACTTTGATTTTTATCAAAATAGACCAAGAAAAAGTATCTGAGAACGTTCTATTTAGAAAAAAGTTTCTATAACCCTCTGTAACCCCTTGTCACCCCTTGTCACCCCCTGTCACCCCTGGTAACCTCTTGTAACCTCCTGTAACCCCTTGTAACCCCTTGTAACCCCTTGTAACCCCCTGTAACCCCCTCTATTCCTATGTCATAGATGGTGAAAATAAATCGTGAAAAAACGATTTTCGACGTTTTATATAGCAAACAAGCATTTTTGAACAACAAAAAGATCGGTTTTAAAAACCCACAAAATTGGCATTTTTGCAAAGGGGTTTGTCCATGTTTTTGGTCAAAAATTTGAAATTTCTTCAACTTTGATTTTTGTGCAAAATAGATTAAGAGAAAGTATCTGGGAACGTTGTAGTTAGAAAAAAGTTTGTATAATTCTTTGAAACCCCCTGTAACCCCTTGTCACCCCCTGTCACCCCTTTTAACCTCTTGTACCCCCCTGTAACCCCTTGTAACCCCTTGAAACCCCTTGTAACCTCCTGTAACCCCTTGTATCCCCCTGTATTCCCATGTCATAGATGGTGAAAATAAATCGTAAAAAAACGATTTTCGACGTTTTATATAGCAAACAAGCCTTTTTGAAGAACAAAAACATTGATTTGAAACCCCCCCCAAAAATTAGCATTTTTTCCAAGGGGTTAGTCCATGGTTTTTGTCAAAAATTTGAAATTTTGTGAACGTTTCGTTTGATGCAAAATACACCCAGAAAAAGTATTTAGTGACCTTCTCGTTTGAAAACAAGCCTTTCTAGACAGTATAAACATGGATCTAAACAGAAGGTAAAATTGGCATTTTTGCAAAGGGGATAGTCCATGATTTTGGTCAAAAAGTTGAAGTTTTTTCATCTTTTGTGTTTGTCAAAAATAGATCGAGAAAAAGTGTTTGCTGACGTTCTAGATAAAAAAGAAGCCTTCTAAAACTATAAAAACAACTGTGTAGGAAAAACGCTAAATTAGAAATTTTTCAAAGGGGTTAGTCCATCGTTTTGGTCAAAAATTTGAGATTTCTTCAACTTTTACTTTTGTGCAAAATAGATTAAGAGAAAGTATCTGGGAACGTTCTAGTTAGAAAAAAGTTTGTATAATTCTTTAAAACCCCCTGTAACCCCTTGTCACCCCCTGTCACCCCTTGTAACCTCTACCCCCTGTAACCCTTTGTAACCCCTTGTAACCTACTGTAACCCCTTGTAACCCCCTGTATTCCCATGTCATAGATGGTGAAAATAAATCGGAAAAAAAACGATTTTGGACGTTTTATATAGCAAACAAGCCTTTTTAAAGAACAAAAACATTAATTTGAAACACCCAAAAATTTAGCATTTTTGCCAAGGGGTTAGTCCATGGTTTTTGTCAAAAATTTGAAATTTTGTGAATGTTTCGTTTTTTGCAAAATACACCCAGAAAAAGTATTTGGTGACGTTCTCGTTAGAAAACAAGCTTTTTTAGACAATATAAATATTGATTTAAAAAGAAGACAAAATTGGCATTTTTGCAAAGGGGATAGTCTATGATTTTGGTCAAAAAGTTGAAGTTTTTTCATCTTTTGTGTTTATCAAAAATACATCGAGAAAAAGTATTTGCTGACGTTCTAAATAAAAAAGAATCCTTTAAAGACTATAAAAACAACTGTGTACGAAAAGCGCAAAATTAGAATTTTTTCAAAGGGGTTAGTCCATCGTTTTGGTCAAAAATTTGAGATTTCTTCAAGTTTGATTTTTATGCAAAATAGACCAAGAAAAAGTATCTGAGAAGGTTCTATTTAGAATAAAGTTTCTATAATCCTTTGTAACCCTCTGTAACCCCTTGTCACCCCCTGTCACCCCTTGTAACCAGTTGTAACCTCCTCTAACCCCTTGTAACCCCTTGTAACCTCCTGTAACCCCTTGTAACCCCCCGTATTCCCGTGTCATAGATGGTGAAAATAAATCGTGAAAAAACGATTTTGGACGTTTTATATAGCAAACAAGCCTTTTTGAAGAACAAAAACATCGATTTGAAAAACTCACAAAATTGGCATTTTTGCAAAGGGGTTAGTCCATGGTTTTGGTCAAAAATTTGAAATTTTGTGAACGTTTCGTTTGATGCAAAATACACCCAAAAAAAGCATTTGGTGACGTTCTCGTTTGAAAACAAGCGTTTCTAGACAATATAAACATGGATCTAAACAGAAGGCAAAATTGGCATTTTTGCAAAGGGGATAGTCCATGATTTTGGTCAAAAAGTTGAAGTTTTTTCATCTTTTGTGTTTGTCTAAAATACATCGAGATAAAGTGTTTGTTGACGTTCTAGATAAAAAAGATTCTTCAAAGACTATAAAAACAACTTTGTACGAAAAACGCAAAATTAGAATTTTTTCAAAGGGGATAGTCCATCGTTTTGGTCAAAAATTTGAGATTTCTTCAACTTTGATTTTTGTGCAAAATGGATTAAGGGAAAGTATCTGGAAACGTTCTAGTTAGAAAAAAGTTTGTATAATTCTTTGAAACCCTCTGTAACCCCTTGTCACCCCTTGTAACCCCTTGTAACCTCCTGTAACCCCTTGTAACCCCCTGTATTCCCATCTCATAGATGGTGAAAATAAATCGTAAAAAAAAAACGATTTTCGACGTTTTATATAGCAAACAAGTCTTTTTGAAGAACAAAAACGTTGATTTGAAAAACCCACAAGATTAGGATTTTAGCAAAGAGGTTAGTCCATGGTTTTCGTCAAAAATTTGAAATTTTGTGAACCTTTCGTTTTTTGCAAAATACACCCAGAAAAAGTATTTGGTGACGTTCTCGTTAGAAAACAAGCCTTTCTAGACAATATAAATATTGATTTAAAAAGAAGCGAAAATTGGCATTTTTGCAAAGGGGATAGTCCATGATTTTGGTCAAAAAGTTGAAGTTTTTTCATCTTTTGTGTTTGTCAAAAATACATCGAGAAAAAGTGTTTGTTGATGTTCTAGATAAAAAAGAAGCCTTCAAAGACTATAAAAACAACTGTGTACGAAAAACGCAAAGTTAGAATTTTTTCAAAGGGGTTAGTCCATCGTTTTGGTCAGAAATTTGAGATTTCTTCAACTTTGATTTTTGTGCAAAATAGATTAAGAGAAAGTATCTGGGAACGTTCTAGTTAGAAAAAAGTTTCTATAATTCTTTGAAACCTTCCGTAACCCCTTGTCACCCCCTGTCACCCCTTGTAACCTCTTGTAACCCCCTGTAACCCCTTGTAACCCCTTGTAACCCCTTGTAACCCCCTGTTACTCTTTGTAACCCCCTGTATTCCCATGTCATAGATGGTGAAAATAAATAGTGAAAAAACGATTTTCTACGTTTTATATAGCAAACAAGCCTTTTTGAACAACAAAAACATCGGTTTCAAAAACCCACAAAATTGGCATTTTTGCAAAGGGGTTAGTCCATGGTTTTGGTCAAATATTTGAAATTTTGTGAACGTTTCGTTTTATGCAAAATACACCCAGATAAAGTATTTGGTGACGTTCTCGTTTGAAAAGAAGCCTTTCTAGACAATATAAACATGGATTTAAAAAGAAGGCAAAATTGGCATTTTTGCAAAGGGGATGATAGTCCGTGATTTTGGTCAGAAAGTTGAAGTTTTTTCATGTCTTGTGTTTATCAAAAGTAGATCGAGAAAAAGTGTTTGGTGACGTTCTAGACAAAAAAGAAGCCTTTAAAGACTGTAAAAACAACTGTGTACGAAAAAGGCAAAATTAAGAATTTTTCCAAAGGGGTTTAGTCCATCGTGGTGGTAAAAAAATTGAGATTTTTTCAACTTTGATTTTTATGCAAAATAGACCAAGAAAAAGTATCTGGGAACGTTCTGGTTAGAAATAAGTTTCTATAATCCTTTGTAACCCCCTGTAACCCCCTGTCACCCCTTGTAAGTCTTGGTAACGTCTTGTTACCCCTTGTAACTCCTTGTAACCCTTTTGTAACCGCTTGTCACCCCCTGGACCCCTTTTGTGACCCCTTGTCACTCCTGCAACCCCTTGTAACTACTTGTCACCCCTTGTAACCCTTTGTAACCCCCTGTTACCCCTGGTTAGGTCTTGTCACCCCCTGTACCACTTTGTAACCCGTTGTCACCCCCTTGTTACCCCTTCTAACCCTTTTGAACCTCTTGTCAACCCTTGTAACCCCTTGTCACCCCTTGTAAGCACCTGTAACCCCATGCAACCCTTTGTAACCCCTTGGTTCCCCCTGTATCCTCTGTAACCCTTTGTCACCCCCTGTAACCCCTTGTAAATCTTTTTTAACCTTTTTTAACCCCTCTTCACCCCCTGTAATCCCTTGTACCCCTTTGTCACCCCTTGTAACCCCTTGTTACCTCCGCTAACCCTTTGTGACCCCTTTTCACACCCATGTAACGGTTTGTCACCCCCTTTAACTCTTTGTAACCCCTTGTAACTCCTTGTAACCCCTTTTCACCCCTTGTAACCCCTTGTAACCCCCTGTAACCCCTTTTAACCTCTTGGCATCCCCTTTTACCCCTTGTAACCCTTTTGTAATTCCTTGTCACCCCCTGTTACCCTTAGTGACCCCTTGTCATCCCCTGTAACCCCTTGTAACCCCTTGTCACCCTTTGTAACCCTTTGTAGCCCCCTTTTAACTCCTTGTAACCTCGTGTCACCCCGTGTAACCTCTTGTAACCCCTTCTCACCCCCTTGTAAGCCGTTGTAATCCTCCGTCGTAACCCCTTGTCACCTTTTTTAACCCCTTGTCACCCCCTGTAACCCTTTGTAACCCCCTGTAACCACTTGCAACCCCTTGTCACCCCCTGTAACCCATTGTAACCCTTTGTCACCCCCTGTAATCCCCTGTAAATTTGTGTCACCCCCTGTAACCCCTTGGAACTCTTTTGTAACCCCTCGTCACCCCCTGTAGCCCTTTGTAACCCCTTGTCACCTCTTGTAACCCCTTGTAACTTGTTGTCACCCCCTCTAACCCTTTGTAACCCCTTTTGTCACCCCTTGTTACCCCTTGTAACCCTTTGTAACATCTTGTCATCCCTTGTAACTCCTTGTCACCCCTTGTAAGCGCCTGTAACCCATGCAACCCTTTGTAACCCCTTGTCACCCCTTGTATCCCCTGTAACTCCTTATCAGCCCCCGTAACCCCTTGCAACTCTTTTGTAGCCCCTTGTCACCCCCTGTAACCTTTTGTAACCTTTTGTCACCTTTTGTAACCCTTTGTCACCCGTCCCATATCCGTTGTACCTATACTCTCTAAACCGCTAGAAAGACACATCCGCATCCGCCTACTTACAGTATCTAACTTCGAACAACCTACTATATAATAACCAGTCCGCTTACCGCCCATATCACTCATGTGAAACTGCTCTGCTTAATATTACCGACAACTGGTTGAAAGCCATGGACAACAGTGAACTTGTTGGTACTGTCTTTTTAGACCTAAGCAAGGCCTTCGACTTAGTAAACCATGACATTTTATTTGCAAAACTTGCTAAATATCATACTGAAACAAACACAATGGACTGGTTCAGATCTTACTTAACAGGCCGCAAACAAGTTGTATCCGTCTCTGGTGTGTTGTCTAGCCCTTTAAATCTTGAAGTCGGGGTACCACAAGGTTCCATCTTAGGTCCACTTTTGTTTCTATCTATATGAATGATCTACGCCTCTTGTTAAAGAACACTGAAGTCGACATATATGCCGATGACACAACGATCTGGTCGAGCGGAACCAATTGTACAGATATTCAAAACACTCTTAATAAAAGTCTAGACAAGGCCAACAGTTGGTTTAAATTGAACAGGGTGATACCAAACACAAAGAAGACCAAACACCTGTTTATTGGTTCTGTTCAAAAGCTAATCCATAGCAGCGAGACTACAATGGGGTAACAAGGGGTAACAAGAGTAACAAGGGGTAACAAGAGTAACAAAGGGTAACTAGGGCTAACAAGGGGTAACAAGGGTAACAAGGGGGAACAAGGGTAACAATGGGTAACAAGGGTAACAAGGGGTAATAAGGGGGAACAAGGGTAGCAAAGGGTAACAAGGGGTAACAAGAGTAACAAGGGGGGACAAGGGTAACAAGGGGTAGCAAGGGTAACATAGGGTAACAAGGAGTAAAAACGGTAACAAGGGATAACAAAGGGTAACAAGGGGTAACAAGGGTAAAAGGGGGGAACAAGGGGCAGCAAAGGGTAAGAAAGGTAACAGGGGTTAACAAGAGTAACAAGGGGTAAGAAGGGGTTACAAGGGGTAACAAGGGTAACAAGAGGTAAGAAGGGTAACAAGGGGTAACAAGGGGTAACAAGAGTAACGGAGGGTAACAAGGGTAACAAGGGTATTAAGGGTAACAAGCAGTAACAACAGTAGCAAGGGGTAACAAAGGGTAACAAGGGTAACAAGGGGTAACAAGGGGTGACCAGGGTAACAAGGGGTAACAAGGGTAACATAGGGTAACAAGGGTAAGAAGGGTAACTAGGGGTGACCAGGGTAACAAGGGTTAACAAGGGTAACAAAGGGTGACAAGGGGTAACAATGGGTAACAAGGGTAACAAGGGGGAACAAGGGTAACAAGGGGTAACTAGGGTAACAAGGGGTAACAAAGGATAACAAGGGGTAACAAGGGGTAACAAGGGTAACACGGGGTAACAAGGGGTAACAAAGGATAACAAGGGGTAACAAGGGTAACACGGGGTAACAAGGGTAACAGGGGTAACAAGGGTAACAAGGGTAACAAGGGGTAACAAGGGTAACAAGGGTAACAAGGGTAACAAGGGGTAACAAGGGGTAACAAGGGTAACAAGGGGTAACAAGGGTAACAAGGGGTAACAAGGGTAACAAGGGGTGACAAGGGGTAACAAGGGTAACAAGGGTAACAAGGGTAACAAGGGGTGACAATGGGTAACAAGGGGGGGGAAAGAGTAACAAAGAGTAACAAGGTTAACAGGGGGTAACACGGGTAACCAAGGGTAACAAGAGGTAACAAAGGGTAAAAAGGGTAACAAGGGTAACAAGGGGGTAACCCATGGTAACACAGGGGAACACAGGAAAACACAGGGTAACAATTAAGGGGTAACACCGGGTAACACAGGGCAACAAAGGGAAACACAGAGTAACAAACAGTAACACCACAGGAAAACACAGGGTAACAATTAATAACTAAAACAATTATGTAAACGTATCTTTCCAGGAAAAACAAATGTTTTAGGAAACACAGTAAAAACAGGTAAAAAACAAACAGTAAAACACCCCAGACATACGGGCCTTTTTTAAAATACAAAACTTTTGTTTCGTGTTTCGCGTCGCCGACCATATTTTACCGCCTGTCAGAGCAGGAAAAACAATTTCTTTTGAAATATACAACTAATGAACTTTCCTAATTTGAAGAAAAAATTTTAATGCTATTTTGAAAAGCTGTTAAAATCGAAAAATGTGCAGCTTGTGACGTTCATAGTCAAGGATTATGTTACATGTGAATTCAAGTGGAACGATCTTTGAACATCATTGCGCGCTTACATGTAACAACATTTTCTTTTAAAAAGCTTTTTGATAGACTTGTTGCATACAAGTTGACCTCAAGAGTTTCTTAGCGAGCGCAACTCCCTTTTTAGGCCACTAAGCGGCCGAGCGAGCTACGAAGTCGCAAGTAATAAATTAGAGCTTTTTGACTTTAAATCAAGAAACCAACACCAGCATGTCGCCCGGGTGGGTTACCTGCACAATATTTTCAGCCCGAGGCGAAATATTAGTCGCCTCGGGCGACCGTGCGCCATAAGTTAGAGCACAGCCTTCGCTTTGTCCTCCTCTACGCAGTAACCAATACTATTCTCTCCTTTGCTGACGCAGTATCCTTTTTCTGCTTGTGCAATCCAACCTGACTTGCACGTGATTCGAAGTTGCAGCCAATAAAAATCCCACAATTTTTTGTGACGGACACGGGATACGGGAAAGTCTCACACACTATACTTTATTTTCATAGACATCATTTTGCCATCTCCGCCCGCAAATAGCAAAAGCTAGACGAGGCGGGCGGAGAGGAAAGGTTTCAGCAGTCATAACAGATAATATTGTAAAGTAACTAAATAAACTACCTGGATAAATAAGAATGACAGAAAAACAAGCTAAAGTTACAAAATATATAGTCTTACAGAATGATATTACAATCAAGTTTACTACCAACAGAACCTATCAATTATTAGTGCATTGAGTCGAGGATGAAGAATTTGCCATTTTTTGTAGGAGAATGGGCATTTCAACATAATCGTCCTCTGCTGCCATTATCGAGAGCAAAAAGTCATGAAAATTTTTTTTAAGGTCCTTTGGAGAGTTGACGAAGTTCGTTAGGAATTGCGTTCCAAAGTTTAGCTCCAAAGCTGGTAAAAGAATCTTGATTTAGATTCAGTTAAAAAGAGAAAGCTAAAAAGTGAAGGCAATTTTTGACTCCCACTGAAAATACGAAAGGAATGCGCCACCAATATTATGAAGCTGGCTGACTACGTCATCCTGCGTAAAAACTGCGAAAATCTATCAATTAAATACAAACAACAAAGTGAATCTGCACAATGTCGAATCTATTTAACAGTAGAGTTATAGTAATTACGTCAATATTGTGAAAAACGTAATGCCTCAATACAGCAAGAAACAGGCTTTCCTCCGCTGTAACATATTCAGGTCCGACTAGTTGTGTATGAATACACGATAATCAAGGTTGATTCGGGGGAAATTACATCTTTGCCAAAAAGCCACACTAGAACGTGATCAACTACGCACATAACCTCAATCATCGCTAAAATAAACCACATGCTCTTCACGAGTCTCATTTGCATACAATGAAAGTCGTCGCGATTCTTATTCCCAGTTTCCACGGTCGCCGCTAGGAACGCCTGGGACCACAACTGTCGTCTTTGTGTACTAAATACGATTTTCAAGAAACCGCTTCAAGATTATGAGTCTTGCCGCTTACGCAAGTGAGACTAAAACACCTAGATAGACCCCGATCCTGACCCCACATTTTACTGACACCCCATAGCTTTTCCGGTTTGTTCGTGCCACTAAATCGGTGACGTCTGATAACAGAAATCTGACATCAAACGTCTGATATTAGACACATGTTATCAGACGTCTGATATCAGACAATTGACATGAGACATCTTATAACAGACATCTGAAATCAGACATCAGACGTCTGATATCAGAAATCTGTCATCAGACGCTTAATTTTAAATGTCTGAATCAGATGTAGGTTGTAGACGT